TCTTTCTGACTGATATTTCCATTGCTTTCAGTTTGGGGCTATTATGAATAAAACTGCTACAAACACTCTTGTGTAAATATTTTTGTGTGCACATGAATTCACTTCTCTGGATAAATACTAGGAGTCAAATGAGTCAGGCCATAGAGTATACACGTTTAACTGCTGAACAGGTTTTCGAAGTCCCTTCACCATTTTACACTATACCAGTGATGTATGAGAATTAATTTTAGCCTTATTATATTAATTTACATGTTTCTAATGACTAATGATGCTGCATACCTTTTTCTTCCGCTTATATACATGAATATATCTTCTCTGAAGTGTTATTCAAGTCATTTTAAAAATTGGGTTGTCTTATTTTTAAGTAGTAGAACTTACTTATTTGGATGTAAGCCCTTTGTCAGATATGAATTTTTTGACATTTTATCTCAATCTCTGGCTTGACTTTTCATTTTCTTAGCAATATATTTTGATAAGCATCTTTTATTTTTAATGAAGCCCTATTTATTAATTTTTTCTTTCAGGGTTAGTGTTTTGTGCCCTCTGTAATAAATTGTTTTTTAATTTGTTCTTTAGCTTAAGAAATTAAGAGTTAATGAATAAGGATGTATTTCCATTGTAAAGAAAAACACAGCAAGATATTTTGTGCATAAATTTTAGATCAAACACATAGTATATCTTAAAGTTTGCACTATTTGTTTTAAAGTTTTAAACACAAAGTGGTCAAAGAATAGCAGAATTAAAGTAATTTAAAGTCTTTTTCTTTGCCTTTACAATAACCGTGCTATTATTTATTTTGAATTTATTACTTAAACAAGGGATTATGTAGTATTATCACATGGGTTAGAAATTCAAACTACATCTGAAGAAAATTCAAACATTTCTAACTATTATAAATTCTAAACCAGAGTTTGGTGAACTTTTCCTGTAAAAGGCCAGATAGCAAATATTTTAGGCTTTGCAAGCATTATAGTCTCCATACAACTACTCAGCTCAGCTGCTATAGTGTGAAAGCAGCCACAGACAACACATACATGAATGAGCATAATGACTGTGTTCTAACAAAACTCCATTTATGGACACTGAAATTTGAATTTCATAATAATTTTTATATCACTAAATACTGTCCATTTTATTTTTTAAATCACTTAAAAATATAAAAAACATTCTTAGCTCATGGGTTGTACAAAAATAGGGAGTAGGCAGATCTGGCCCAGGGGCTGTAGTGTACTGTCCTACAGCCTAGAGAAAGTTGTTTCTGTCAATGATCCTTGTTGTCCCCTTTTATGAGACAGGTTTATTTCTAGTTCATGACCAAAATGCTGGTAAGCCATTTGGGTATAGATCTCTTTACAACAGAGGTATCATTAGATTATTTGGCAGGCTTTACAATTTGTCACCTGCCTCAATGTGCAAATTGAGCTCAGGGTAAAGAAAGAGGCTTTTGCACAAATCCCTGGAAAAGGCAGCTCAAGTCCTACTTTATCTCTCTGGGTTTCTGTATTCATTTTGCTTTTGACCTGTGAATTTCTTAAATTTCCTCTCAGCTCAGTTATATATTTTATCCAGCATCTGTGGCCATTTTCAGTAGAATTATTCAGAGTATTTTTCCATTCTGCTAAATGTGATCCTCTAATCAGTAGTGATTTTTACTCACATTACTTAAATAACTATGTTAGTCTACCCTCTTTTCTTACCTTACATAATTTTTCGAAGTTTGGGAGGTAAATGCCTTAGAGAGACTTTTCAATTCTTTCCCAGGAATTATACTTTACTTCAGGCTTTCTTAATAAGAAAGCATCAGGCCGGGCGCGGTGGCTCAAGCTTGTAATCCCAGCACTTTGGGAGGCCGAGGCGGGTGGATCACAAGGTCGAGAGATCGAGACCATCCTGGTCAACATGGTGAAACCCCGTCTCTACTAAAAATACAAAGAACTAGCTGGGCGTGGCAGCGCGTGCCTGTAATCCCAGCTACTCAGGAGGCTGAGGCAGGAGAATTGCCTGAGCCCAGGAGGCGGAGGTTGCGGTGAGCCGAGATCGCGCCACTGCACTCCAGCCTGGGTAACAAGAGCGAAACTCCGTCTCAAAAAAAAAAAAAAAACTACAATTATCTGTTAAAAACTAATTTGAAACCATTTTACAGTAAAATTTTCCAAACCCAGCCTAAATTAGGTGAAGCAATGGTATCATTTAATCAGCTATATGCCTAGGTATGTTTTGTAATCTGTCACCTATAAAAGAAATATATCTATTTCAAATATATATATTTCTTTTCTTTATATTTGAAAGTTTTCACAATAAATTGTTGGGGAAAATGTAATCACATTTGAAACCTGTTTTAAATGGCAAGGGAGAAATGTCCAAATCCCACAGAAGAATTCTGCAAAAAACAATAGGCAAGATTTTTGCAGCTTACGTCTGCTGAGCTGGGGAGGACAAAAAAAAAAAAAAAAGATTACCATAATCCCTTTATCTGCCTACCTCCAGAAAAGGACAGAAAATTTGCACTCTTAGTGAGAAATGAAGGCAGGTGAAAGGTTTGTTCATGTTAAGAATTCCACGTGGTGAAACTAAGTTCCTCTGGTTAAATTTTGATGCTTAAAAACAAACTATTTCTGTAATTTCAATGTTTCACTTCCTTGATTACTCAGAATAACTTTATTTTCAATACAGATACAGTTCCTAAAAGGATATAAACCATACCTTCTTTGGATTACTTAATCATCATGTTTGGCAGTGTCCTTTTACTATTAATCTATCTGAAATTATTATTTTTTTAAATCTGAAAACAAAAAACACATAAAAATCAACACACGGGAAAATCTGTTTACCTATTCAATAGCGTGCATATGAACTGTATGTTTTGCGCGTTGCAAGCCTTTCAATACAAATGACCTTCTAAAGTGTCATGAGACAGGCATATTTATGTTTGATATCCCATTAATGATTTTTTGGTAGTTATTTAAAAAATACCACCCTCTGTATTTAATAAAGATGGAAAAATACATAACCCAGATACTAGTGGATAATAATTTATTTAAAAATTATTTATTTAATATTTACTATGTGCTAAACCTTAGAGATGAGAATATGAGTAAGATGAAGTCCCTGAATTAACAAAATCAATAATTTGGTAAAGAAGAAATACAAATGAACAAATAAAAAATCTCATAAATCAGTCAGTAAGTATACACAGAGTAATACTGTAATAAAGAGGAGAAACCTAAATTAGCTTAGAGGGTTGAGGGTCTCTGGGAAGGGTTCCTGAGCTTGGTCTTAAAGAATGAGTATTAACGATCTAGGCAGGAGAGAATGAGAGACAGTATTCCATGATGAAGCAGCAGCATAGAGGAACAAAGCAGCATGTTGTGGGCAGAGAACGATAAGCAATTTAGTATTGCTGGAGAGAAAGCCCACGGTATAGAATGGAGAGAGATGAGGCTAGAAAGGTAGGCAGTGGCCACACCATGAATGATTTTGCAGGATATGTTAACACGCCTGAACTTTCTCTTGGCCTCAGAAAGATTCTAGAAGGGGTATGGTATTTTCGGATTGTGTATTAACTATAACTCCCTGACCTCATTGAGTGAAGGATGAATGTGAAGGAGACATGCTGATCAGCTACAAGAGTGACAAAATAAGGACCTGAGAACCAAGATGGTGACAGAGGGTATGGTTTCCATCGAGACACACAGACAGACATGACAGAGAGATTAGATGTGGGGATGACTCCCTAGTGTCTGGCTGGGGTTAATATGTTGATGACAGTACTTTCCTCACCCACTGTCCCCTCCATCCAAGTAGATAATATGGAAAGAAAAGCAAAGTTGAAAGGGAAGATGATGGATTCAACCTTGGATGTGTTGAATGTGCTGCCATGTATCTAGGTGAAGATTCCCAGCAGAAAGTTAACATGAAGCCAAGAGGGAGAAAGTCTGAATAGGAGGTTGAAATTTGAATCTGAAAAATATTAAAGATACTAGGAATTTTGAGTGAACAGCCAGTTTTTCTGGGGTTTTGTTTGCTTGTTTAACTTAAGCCATTCTAATAGGTGGGTAGTGGTAGCTCATTGTGATTTAAATTTTTATATCCCTAATGTCTAATGATGTTTAGGATCTTTCTTGTTTTTTTGTTTGGCATGTTTTAAAATGCTTACTTATCATTTGTGTGTCTTCTTTGGTGTCTATTCAAATCTTCTGCCCATTTTTAAACAAGGAGCTGTTCTCTTATTTTTTTGTGTGTACTCCTTATATATTCTCCATACAAGTCCTTCATCCGATATACACTTTGCAAATATTTTCTCAGCCTGTGGCTTCAACAGTCTTTTGAAGAGCATAAATTTTTAGTTTGTTGAAGTCCAATTTATCAATTCTTTTTTTCATCGTGTTTTTGGTCTAAAAAAATCTTCTAAGAAATCTTTGCCTAAATAAGGTCACAAATAGTTCCTCCTATGTTTGCTTCTGGTATAGGTTTAGGTTTTCCATTTACATCTCTGATCCATTTTGAGTTTTTTGGGGGTGTATATGTGGTGTGAGGAATAGACCGACGTAATGAGAGGGGATAAAATCAGCCACAAAGAGGGTCTAGACAGGAAGAGCAACAAGGTGGTTGAAACCTGGGCATAAAAAAAAATTCAGGGTTCAAGGAAGTGGAGTCGGGCATTGTCGGGAAAGCAACAGGAAAACTTTGAATAATCAACACTGCCTGCTAAGGTAAGCAATGGCAGCTGTCTTTTTAATTTGGATGAGGTCACTAGTGACCTTAGAAAGAGCATTTCCAGTCAAAACAAATCTTTGCTATTCATAATTACCTGTAACCAACAGCTTTATAGGAATTCCCCCAGCAGACGCACTCGAGAGGTCTGAAATCCCTGAGCACTATGAAAGGTCACTTCTGCTGAGTACAGGGAGGTCTGGGATTCCTGACACTGATGGTGAGACCGAAGCATCCCTGGGGCACTTCAGCACACGGTCTTGGGGACAAACCTGAGGAGTCATTACCTTGCTGGGAAATCAGAAGGCCACTCACTGCTGGATTTGCCAACGTGACGTTTCACCAGGGAGACACCCAGTTGAACTACAGGAAGACGAGAAGGCGGGGATTAATAGCTGTGCACTCGGGCAAATCAGGGAAATCCCCCCCAGCGCCCCCTGTGTCCCGAGGAGAGGTGGCGTCGGGGGCGGGGCCTCGCCCGACTCTCGCCCACGTGGCTCCGCTCGGGTGAAGAGCTACTGCAGTTACCCAGGCTTAGGAAGCGGAGGATAAAGCCAGGAGTTACCGGGCTCGTGAGCACGCCCGGTCCTTTCCCTGAGGCAATGAAAGCGACGCACGACGGACTCTTCCCCGCTGACTGACCTTCCGCCCCCGGGTCTCCTCAGCCCGGATAGTCCGCGAGCCCGTCCCCCTCCCGCTAGTCGTAAAGTGCAGTAAAGGCATCAGCGTTTTGCGACACCGTAGGTGAGATCGGCGGCGTGGGTCCTTGCTCTGCGCGGAGCCGGCGCGTTGGCGGTTGCTTCTGCGGAAAGCCGGCGGTTGGAAGTTTGGAGAGGTCAGGGAACTAGCTACGATTCTCTCAGCGGATACTTGGCTGCTCCTAGGTGTGTGTAACAAGCGGCAAAACGGGTAGGGTTGTTTTAAAACCTCTTATCCCCGTTCGTCAGCGTGACCTAAGGTTTCCAAACCCCTCCTCGTGACTTGCCGCTTCTCTAGTGCTCCTGTGGTTGCGATCTTCGTGCTCATCGCTAGATCTTAGGTGTCCTTGGTGTAACTGACTGTTGTTCTGTCCACTTCGTCCTGCAGTCTCTCTCCTCCCGACGTTTGAAATGCTTTATCTCATCGGCTTGGGCCTGGGAGATGCCAAGGACATCACAGTCAAGGGCCTGGAAGTTGTTCGACGCTGCAGCCGTGTGTACCTGGAAGCCTACACCTCAATCCTGACCGTAGGGAAGGAAGCCTTGGTAGGTGCTGAGCGTCCCCCAGCCTCCTGGGAAGAAAGCTCCCTGACGTCTGAGTTTCATACACTAAGCTGAACAGAATTTTCGGGTCTGCTTGTTTCAACCCTTCGAAACGCATTCGCTTGTTCATTAATGATCTGGGGAGTAGAGGAATGGAAATGACATACCAACCGACTGACTTGGAAAATGAAAGGGTGCTTTGTCCTACTTTACAAGTCTAATTTTGTGGCTTCATCCAGCAAATAGGAAAGCTGTTTTATACTCTTGGGGGGTAGTTATCAAAACCCCATATTTCATGAGGTAGTCAAGAAATCCTTTCTGAGTTGAGTACTAATGAAGTGCTGACACAGCCTTAATGAGTTGGTTATATATTCAAGAACCAAGCTGAAAGCTTCCCCCTTTGAAGTATTTCCATAGGGAATGGTGATTGCCTTTTGGTATCATATCCAGAGAGATCTTACCTTAAATACACTATGTCCCAATAAGGATTATACTGATACACTTGTATATATTGAGTGAGCCTAGACTTAATATATACAAGTATATGAGTATACATTAAGTAACCAGAGTATTAGTGTATTATACATTTAGTTGGCCTTCATAAGGATCCAGTAAATTCTGGGGAAGGGTCAACTTCAGGTTCATTGTCAAACTAAGTAAAAGGTAAATCGAAAGATTAATAGACACGTTATGGGAGGAAGGAGTAGATTTTTGGAATTGTCTTTTGTCATGTCTTCCAAACAAAAAATTGACTTAAAATATTTAGGTCTCAGATTACTTTACAGTCTTGAAGAAGGAATTAAGAACTGCTACTTGAATTAGCCACGCATTTAAATAAAAGTTGTTTGTAAAGACCAGCTTTGATATATACATATACGCAGAGAGAGAGAGAAAGTAAGTGTTGCTCTGTTGCCCAGGCTGGGGTGCAGTGGTGCTATCACGGCTCACTGCAGCCTCAACCTCCTGGGCTAAAGTATTCTCCCCATCTCAACCTCCGGAGTAGCTGAGACTGCAGGTGGGTGCCACCCTGCCCAGCTAACTTTTTTTGTATTTTTTGGTAGAGACAGCGTTTTGCCGTGTTGCCCAGGCTGATCATGGGTTCCTAGACTCCTGCGATCTACCTGCCTCAGCCTCAAGTGCCTCCCAAGTGCTGGGATTATAGGCATGAGCAACCACACCCAGCCTAAGACCAGCTTTGATTTGAAAAAACTTCTGTTTCCCCATTTTTGTCACTCTTAGGTTTAAACCAAACCTAAGCTCAAAATGATGGAAATATGCTTCTCTAATCAGTGCTAAGGAAAAGTAGAAGGAACTTAACATCATCAAGAAAAGTGAGACAAACAGCAGTTTGATAGAATGAGATATCAGGGGATGGCATAGAGGAAAGTTTGGATACAATTTTATCCTTGCTTTGTTACATGTTAATGTGACCTTGGACAAGTCTTTTAACTTTAGTGTCTTTTTTAAATGGGCTAAAAACACCTACTTTATGTGTTTGGCATAGTTCTTAGCATAGATTCTTAGCTATGGTATGTGGCACAAAAGTGTTCAGAAATAGAAATTGTCCATGGTCACATTTCCAAGCTTCTCGGAACCTCAGTTTCTTCATTTGTCAAGTGAGAATTACCAGTTGGAGGGTGATGTAGTGTTTTATTGAGGTGATGTATATGAAAGTGCTTTGTGCATTTTAAGTGCTAGCTAAATGTCAATTTTGGTTGCTATAATTTTTTTAAGTATTTTTTTCCAAAGAGAAAACTTCTGGAGTTATTACTTATAGAGTAAAGACCTGAAGCTGGACCCAGCCTTACCTACAGTAAATTATGCACACTTTAAGGTACTAGAATATCTGTTCCTCCACAATAATAAGTACTGACATTTATAGAACACTTACTGTGCACTGTTTTAAATGCTTTACATGTAGATTAGGATTATCATTCTAATTTTCTAATTACTGTTCATTTTGAAGGCATAGAGAAGTTAACAAACTTGCCCAAGATCATATGGATAGTGAGTGACTGAGTGAGTGAGTGATAGAGCCAGGAGATGAACCAGAGCAGTCTTGAGAGTTGAGGTCTGTCACTCTTTTTATTTTTTTCAGACGGAGTCTTGGTCTGTTGTCTAGGCTGGAGTGCAGTGCCGTGATCTCGGGTCACTGCAACTTCTGCCTTCTGGGGTCAAGTGATTCTCCTGTCTCAGCCTCCCGAGTAGCTGGTATTACAAGCGTGTGCTACCACACTCGGCTAATTTTTGTACTTTTAGTAGAGACAAGGTTTCACCATGTTAGCCAGGCTGGTCTTGAACTCCTGACCTCAGGTAATCTACCCGCCTTCACTCCCAAAGTGCTGGTATTATAGGTGTGAGCCACCGTGCCTGGCTGAGGTCTGCCACTCTTGACCTCAGCACTGTACTGTGTCTCTGTATTCTTAAGGATAGATAATAGCTACACAAAGCGAACACCTACAGAGAAGGTAGGATTCAAGCAAAATGGTCAATGCTAGACCCTGTGCTGCTTAATAATCTGTTCATTTACTTATTTGTTTGACAGATACTATTAAGTACCAGATATAGTTGCACTACAGCAATCCTTGTAACTTTTAATAGCTCACTCAAAATTCTCAATATATAAGAAACAGTATTATTTACCTGTGTGTCTACTTTTACTCCATTTGAATTACTTATTACTCCTTAGGATATCAGTTAGAAGATTTACAATCCTTCTTTCTGTACTGGCTGCTGAGATGAAAAAAAAAGGATTCATGATCTTGCATAGTAGCCTGTAACCACTGTCAGATGAGTGCTAGCTTACTAGTTCACTCTGCTGGATTTGTTCTCTAGAGTTGAGCTGCAGGGAATTAAATCACAAAGCAGTTTGTATGCAAGCTTCCTACATATTTAGAATTCATTCATCGCTCCTACAACTCTGCCTTTTTAGCAGAAACTAAGGAATACAGTTTTAAATTAGTATCTTCTGCATTAATGTAAGAATGTTCATTGGCTCTGTAAACAGCTAATTTTCTATTGTTTCTCATTGGTGCTGTCTTTTTCTTTTTCTAGCTGAGATGCCATATGTTTTCCCAGTGAAAATTTAATAAAACCTAAAGCACCTAAACAAACCATGTTTGTTTAAACTTATTGTTTAATATATTTATTCTGTATTATATCATGTTTCTGAAGTAGGGTATGTATATTCCGTGTTCATCCTGCAGTGTTCTGCCTGGCCTTTAAAACCAAATTTAAAAATAAATTTAAAATGCAAATGGTCTCAGATGTTAAGAGGTCTGCCTCCTTTGGGATACTAAGACAGCCCCGAAGACAGAGTTTAATTGCAACATGATACAGAGTACTGGCTCACTGATGAGTTGTATTGAATGATCTGTGTTTGGGTGGTTGCCAAGATATGCACCAGTCCCAGACAAAGATTTTGTGTGTGTGTGCGTGTGTGTGTGTGTGTGGGTGAAATGGTCACCTGCTGTCTCTCTATCTTGATATTGGACTTAAATCTGTAGGAAGAGTTTTATGGAAGAAAATTGATTCTTGCTGATAGAGAAGAAGTGGAACAAGAAGCAGATAATATTTTAAAGGATGCTGATATCAGTGATGTTGGGTTCCTTGTGGTCGGTGATCCGTTTGGGTAAGTCAAGGCAGATATTTTGAGTTTCTAACTCATGTACTGCTCTTTTTTAAATCACGATTATTCTATTGCATTTAAAACTTTTACCTACCAGGTCCTGATAAGGAACACTATTTGATTTCATAGTTAAAACTTTAATCATCTTTGAAACTAGTAAAGAAAAGCTACTTGGTAAATATATCATCATATGTATCACTACATTATCAAGAGTGTCAGCTGTAAAGTTTGTATCATTGTTTCTGCTGTTTTAGAAGGTCATGTAGGGTAACAAATGCCTTAACTGGTATATCATTATCAAATAGTTCATAACATTCTCAAAAGTCATGTCTGCCATTTGCTGCTGATAATTTCAAGCATCTTTGAATTCTTTTGTCCAAAGTTTTTTTCTCCTTTTGTAATTATCTAATATTTGACAGTACTGCCGTCACTTTGCTTGCCTTGAATTTATCGTTTATCAAGTCTGTGATTTCACTTTCTTATATCCACTGGGAACCCGGCTCTTATCATTATCACAAAAATGGGTGTCTGCTGCCTAGTGACGCATCATCAATCTCTAATGTCAAGCCAAGCAGAAGAGTTCTTTATCTACAGCTGGTTACCTAAGACTTATATCACAGATTGAAGGAACATAAGGACCATGTGAGAAGTCCTTGGAGGGGACTAGGAATTTTATTTAAAACACAGTGGTAAACTTTTGCAGGGTTCAAAGCAGGAAAACTCAATATCTCATTAACATTGTGAATGTGCCACTCTAAATCAATAGGTGAATGGATTTTAGGGAGGCAAGAATGTTTTTGGTGGAAAAGAGAAAAAGATGGGAACATATTTAGAAGAAGAATGCCAAGATGGATGCAGTAAATAAGGAAAGGAAAAGAGTAAATCTATCTCCCAGGATTCTAGCTTTATAAATGAGTGGTTGATAGTGTCACTTGAAAACTGGTGGAGAACAGGATTTGGAAAAACAAGAATTGGTTCTGAAAACATGTTAACTTTGAGCTATGAAGTTAGGCGATTAGTTAGCTGCTGCTAGAGCTTGGGGGTGGGAGGTCATCCTAGATAAATGGCTATTGAAGTCATCAGTATATTAATGGTGTTTAAAGCTCAGGGAATGGATAGAATCACCTTTGGAGAGAAGAATGGGAAGAGAAGAAGACCTAGGGTAGCTCTAGGAACCTTGGCGTTTCAGTGTGTGCCTAAAGCCAGAGGAGACGGGAGAAAAAGCAAGAGTATGTTGTCACAGAATCCAAGAAAACAGACTGTTTCAAAAAGGAAAGACTGAAAAACTTCAATATCACAGTGAGAGTTTGTAAGATGAGGGTGCAAAAGTGTATATGAATTTAAAGACACGATGTTTGGAGTTGATTAGTGGGGATTTTATGGAGGAGTTGAAACCTCAGCAGGACCTGGATAGGGTTCAACAAGTAGAGATTGTGGGGTGGGCCAGGAGAAAGGTAGAAGGAAGAATACTCGTGTAAGTGAAAAAACAGAGGCACAGAGAAAATATCTTGATGTAATTGCTCCCCTGCTTAAAAACCATCAGTGACTTTCATGGCCTTAAATCTTGAAGTCATTCTTTTTTCTCTAGCTGCTCTTTTTAACTGCTACGCTAGAGCCAGTTGTACGACTTTGCATTTCATAAGTGTTTTATAATATTCTTCCCCCATTTCTTTGCTCAAGCTTTTTCCTTAAAATTGTTCTTCTCAGCTCCTAATTATACCTAATTATACTATAAAATTAGTATACAGCTCACGTGCTGCCTCTTTCATTTCTATTTTATTCAGGAGTGCCTTTTTTTTTTTCCATTTTAAACTCCTTTATTTTATTTTATTTTATTTTATTTTAAGACTAGTCAAGTGCAGTAGTGAGAAGGGCGGAAAGAGTAGAACAAGGAGTTCGATCTGTAACTGACTGTGAACAATCAATTGAGATAAGTCACTACCTTCGGACCAGCCTTAAACTCCTTTAATTTGCCCTTTCTCAGTGATTCATCATATGTAGCCTTGGATTTAAATTCAGATTTAAGGAATGTTTACTGTACTGCAGTTATTTTTTATTCACAGGCAGATCATTGTTAGGATGTAATCACTGGAAATGGGATGGTGGGGAATGTGTAAATTTAATTAGAATTTGAGTGGATTAAATGGAGGAGAAATCAGGTAAGGAATATGGAATGCAGTACGCCACTGAAATTCTTAGATAGGACCAAAAAAATGTCGCTTATTTAGAGACCCCTTCTTATTTAAATAAAATGCTCAATCTTAGATTCTTTTTGTTTCAATATTTTTAAAATGGTAAATTTTAACCATACAGTTCAGTGACATACTAAGTACATTCACATTGTGCAATTATCAGCACTATCCATCTCCAACAATATGAAGTTCTTGAAGATAACTAAAAGTCATAGTAAAGTAAGTTCATATTGTTCTTTACCCAGGTTATTGAAAGGAATATGGAAATAGATCACATAAAGAAGACTAAATGTCTAAAAAAACACTATATCAATAGATCTTAATCATTGTGAGAGCTGACAGTCTCAAACATTCTATCCCTAAATCTGCCTAAGTAGACTTTATTAAACACACCCTTTCTAATGATGGTTCTGTTTTATTATTCCATTCTGTATTTTAGTATGCTCTATTATATTGTAAATGAATACATAATTTTTAATCCCTATGTTGTATGCCTTTTCCTTAACGGCATACATATACAGATAATACGTCCTGATGTAGGCTGTTTGACTGCTTCCATTCCATGTAATGCGTATGAACAGTGCTTGGCACCTAATACTATCCAGTCAATGTCAGCATTATTATTAGTCCATTTTTCTTCAATATAAATAAAGCTGCCATGTGTAAATTTATGTATATGACACCTTCCCCCTCCCACTTCTTCATCCCCACATTTTAGATTGTTTTCTTATGATAGATTCTCCAAAATAGGTTTTTAGGAATAAAATATCAAAAGGTATGGACATGGACAGTTTATAGAATAAACCGTATTGTCAATTGTTACTGCTTCCATAGTTCATGAGAACATAATTTTCACTATATCATTGCAAACATTCATGGATATCTGGACCACCAGCCATACTTATGTCAAAAAGGGAGGCACTGTAAAATTTACAATAAAGATACCAAATTTTGTGTATTCAAATCGGTCACCTTTGTGTACTTTATTTTATTGATTCCATTAATCAAAACATTTTTTGAATTTCCTTTTTTGTTATTGTCTTTAGAACAATTTCAAGTAACAAGCATATTATTACAAACAGATTTATTACTATTTCTGAGCATATATATATATATATATACACACATATATATGATTTTAGATAAAGCCATATATCTAGAAATAGTAAATGTGTGTGTGAATATATGTAAGTGCCTGCTCATTTTAAATAAATTTGTGATAGGTAATTTTGGACCAGTTTTTCTTTTTCATCTTCTTAAATAACTCACCAAGAAACTAATTTAGTTTTCTTTACTATTAATGTTAAGTAGTGAGATTCTGTTGAAGGTGCTATTGAAAACAATTCTTTTTAATTGGCATGCATGTTATATTTTAAAAGCTTACTCAAAATCAAATTAGTGATTATTTTTCATGTTAGTTTTATGTGTGTGATTAAAAACAGGCTTCCCTGGTGGGCATTTGTTAATATATATCTGACTGCCTCATGAGGTGAAAGCCCTTGATGTTCCTACTTGGTGTGCATTGATCAGTCCAGAGGTTCTGCTTGTTTGCATGTAGTCTGACATGCTAATGTTGCTTTACCCAGTAGGACCTGGAATTTTTATCAAGAGGGAAAAGGGCCTTTAAAATGTAGTTCTAAATTGATAAGGGGTTACATTTCACTGTGCCCATATTTATATTTATCTATATTCTCTCTACTCCAATCTACCTACTTACAGTCTTGAGATTTATCTTCATAAAGGATACCTACTTATAGTCTTGAGATTTATCTTTATAAAGGAAAGGCAACAGGTCAAATATGCACATACATACATACATACACACATACACACATCCTAATTATACACAGTAACCAAATGAAAATAGTTATAAATAACATGACTGTTAGACAGATATAAAATTCAACATTATATGAGATAGGGCTCTCATATAAAGACTTAAAGAGTGACAGGCTGTGAAAGTTTATGTACAGGCATACCTTGTTTTATTGTGTTTTGCTTTATTTCACTTCACATATATTGCAGTTTTTAAAAAATGAAGGTTTGTGGCAACTTTGCATTGAGCAATCCTGTTGGTGCCATTTTTTTCTGACAGCAGTTCTCACTTCCTATCTCTGTGTCACATGTTGGAAATTATGATATTTCAAGCTTTTTCATTATTACATCTGTTATGTTGATTTGTGATCAGTGATCTTTGATATTACTACTGTACCTTAGGTTGCCACAAACCAAGCACATATAAAATGGTGAATTTAATTGATAAATATTGTCTGTTCTGACTGCTACCACCAACTAACCATTCCCCCAAGTCTCTGTCTCTTATTACCTATTACCTTCCTATTACCAGAGACACAGCAATATTGCAGTTAGGCATTTTAATAACCCTGCAATGACCTCAAAGTGTTCAAGTGAAACAGTCATGTCTCTGACTTTGAATCAAAAGCTAGAAAAGATTAAGCTTAGTGAGGAAGGCATATAGAAAGCCAAGAGGCTGGGCAAGGTGGCTCACGCCTGTAATCCCAGCACTTTGGGAGGCCTGGGTGGGTGGATCACCTCATGTCAGGAGTTCAAGACCAGCTGGGCTAACATGGTGAAACCCTGTCTCTACTAAAAGATAGAAAAATTATCTGGGCATGATGGTGGGTGCCTATAATTCCAGCTACTTGGGAGGCAGGGAGAATTGCCTGAACCCAAGAGGCGGAGGTTGCAGTGAGCTGAGATCATGCCACTGCACTCCAGCCTGGGCAACATAGCAAGACTCCATCTCAAAAAGAAAAAAAAAAAGAGAGAGAGAAAAAAAGAAAGCGAAGATAGGCTGAAAACTAGGCCTTTTTTTTTTGTCAAACAGCCAAGTTCAGTATGCAAAGGAAAAGTTTTTAAAGGAAATTAAAAGTGCTACTCTTATGAATCCACAAACGATAAGGAAATAAAGCAGACTTATTGCTGATATGGAGAAAATTTCAGTGTTCTGTATAGAAGATCAAACCTGCTGCAATATTTCCTTAAGCTACAGCCTAATCCAGGGCAAGGCCAGAACTCTCTTCAAGTCTCCGAAGGCTGACAGGTGTGAGGAAGCTGCAGAAGAATAGTTTGAAGCTAGCTGAGGTTGGTTCATGAGGTCTAAGGAAAAATGTCTCTATAACATAAATGTGTGAGCTGTGGAAACAAGTTATCCAGAAGGTCTAGCTAAGTTAACTGATGAATCACCACACAGTAGATTTTCAATGTAAATGAAACAGCCTTCTATTAAAAAGGATGCTGTGTAGCACTTCCATTGCTAGAGAGGAGAAGTGAATGCCAGGCTTCACAGGACTGGCTAACTCTTGGTAGGGCTAATGCAGCTGGTGACTCTAGGTTGAAAACAGTGCTCATAGAACCTTGTGAAAATCCTAGGACCTGTTAGAATTATGCCAAATGTATTTTCCCTGTGTGCTGTAAGTGGAACAACAAAACCTGAATGACAGCACATCTGTTTACAGCGTGGTTCACTGAATATTTTAAACCCACCCTTGAGACCTACTGCTTGAAAACCAGATTTCTTTTAAAACATTATTGCTCACTGACAATGTACTTGGTCATCCACGAGCTCAGGTGATGTACAAGATCACTGTTGTTTTTATGCCTGCTACCCCAACATATATTCTACAGCTCATGGATCAAGGAGTAATTTTGACTTTCTTTTTATTTAAGAAGTACATTTTGTGAGGCTGTAGCTGCCCTAGATTGTGATTTCTCTGATGAGTCTAGGCAACGTAAATTGAAAACCTTCCAGAAAAGATTCACCATTCTAGATGTCATTTAAAATATTCATGATTCACGAGAAGAGGTAAAAATACCCACATTAATAGAAGTTTGGGAGAGGTTGATTCCAACCCTCATGAATACTTTGAGGGCTTCAAGACTTCATTTCAGGAAGTAACTGTAGATATAGTAGAAATAGCAAGAGGCTGGGCCGTTGACTCAAGCCTGTAATCCCAGCACTTTGGGAGGCCGAGGTGGGTGGATCACGACGTCAAGAGATTGAGACCATCCTGGTCAACAAGGTGAAACCCCGTCTCTACTAAAAGTACAAAAAGTTAGCTGGGCATGGTGGTGCGTGCCTGTAATCCCAGCAACTCAGGAGGCTGAGACAGGAGAATTGCCTGAACCCAGGAGGCGGAGGTTGCAGTGAGCCGAGATTGCGCCATTGCACTCCAGCCTGGGTAACAAGAGCGAAACTCCATCTCAAAAAACAAAAACAAAACAAACAAACAAACAAAAAAGAAATAGCAAGAGAGTTAGAATTAGAAGTGGAGCCTGAAGATATGAATGAATTACTTCAGTCTTAGGGTAAAACTTGAACATATGAAGAGTTGCTTCTTATGGATGGGCAAAGAAAGTGGTTTCATGAGATAAAATCTATTCTTGGTGAAGTTGCTGTGAGCATTGTTGAGATGACAATAAAGGATTTAGAATATTACATAAACTTAGTTGATTAGACTATTGGCAGGGTTTGAGAAGATTGGCTCCAATTTTGAAAGAAGTTCCACTGTGGGTAAAACGGTATCGTACAACATTGAAGGCTAGAGAGAAATCTTTCATGAAAGGATATACAGCAATTACAAAAAAAAATAAGAAATCTTTCATGAAAGGAAATACAGCAATTACAAAAAAAATCTTTCATGTCAGTCAGTACAGCAAATTTCATTGTCTTATTTTAAGACATTGCCACAGCCACCTCAGTCTTCAGCAACCACCACCCTGATGAGTTAGCAGCCATCAACATGGAGGCAAGACCATCCACCAGCAAAAAGATTACAACTCACTGAAGGCTTAGATGATTGTTAACATTTTTTTAGCAATAAAGTATTTTTTAATTAAGGTATGTACATTTTCTAGACATAGTGCTATTGCACACTTAACAGACTACAGCATAGTATAAACATCTTTTATATACACTAAGAAACCAAAAAATTAATGTGACTGGCTTTATTTTTATATTCATATTATTGTGATTATTTTGATGCAAATTTGCAGTATCTTCATGGTATACCTGTATATTTTCCCTTAAATTTTAAATACAAAAACCAAGTCTTTAAAATAGAGCAGAACAAAGCCTTCAAAATAGGTCAGTGATTCTAGTCGTGCCCTAATTTGGAACTTTGGAGCAGTAATTTTAAGAATTTAAAAGGGCTCGGAGACTAAAAAGCTTAAGAATTACTTTTCAAAAGTTAAGTCGCTGAGCTTATATTTCATAGGTGTCTTTTTCAGGTATTTACAGGACAAAGGGCAAGTAAAGGTTCCTTTTTTAAGTAGCTGCCAAGGCTGCTTTAGAAGTGTTACAGTAGCAACTCAACATTTTGAAGGGCATGTTTAGTTTTGCATTTTCTTGCAAGAAAGCTCAGATGAAAACGTATTGCAGGTGTGTGGAAGAATTTGAAGAAATGCAGTGCTCCTGATTCTTTAAGTGACATGAACTCAGGAAATACAGCTTTGCTGTCTTAAAAGTGTTATTTGCTTTAATCCAATCTAATATTTTCTCACTACAGGGCTACAACACACAGCGATCTTGTTCTAAGAGCTACAAAGCTGGGAATTCCTTATAGAGTTATTCACAATGCCTCCATAATGAATGCTGTAGGATGCTGTGGTTTACAGGTAATGCTGCAAAGGAAGTTTTTCAGTGGAATTAAGCAAAAGTATTTTATTTTTCCACAAACTGAAAATGCGTTTAATTGTATTTCATGAATCATAAAACATACTATTATTTGATACTAGACATACATACTAAGTTTTTTAACACAAATTTTTTTTTTTTTATGCTAGGTTCTTTCCCTTATTGGGATGGAGCATTTAGGTTTAGCTAGAAAATGATTTTAACCTTATATCCAACCTGTACTTACATAAAAAGGAAAATATAAACTAATCTAAATGACTTAGTATTGTCGAGGCCCATGATTTTCCATACAGTATTGTTTTGTGTGCTGTTAAAAGCATTATGATGCTGTATTTCTTAATAGAATCAGTATAAAAGCTGAAAGCCAGTGATACAGGCTTTTAAACTAGGTTGCTGTTATTGATGTATAAAGTTAGTTATTTTTGTGTCTGACAGCCTTGGTTCTGAGGTGTTAAAAGAGTGCCCCACAGTTGTTTCCAATATTTACTTCTTAGCTACTGACGTTCACTTTCCAAGCTTGTTGTTTGTGTTCTGATGTTCACACATGGATAATCCATGACAACTATGACTGCTGCTTGGCTAATGGTGGTTTTAAGACTTCATCAATTGTTAAGACACATTCCTATTTTCAGATATATCGTAATGGGAAAACAACATGCATCTTTGAAGCTATGAAATAAAGTATTCCCAGTGTGTCTTCCTGAAATGCATAATTTAAAAATAGATATTTTTAAGAAGATATGTTAGCACCGTGATGTATGAAGATGCTTTAGGGATTCTGCAGACCAAGAAGTAATGACATAACACCAAATAACAAAGATATAGATCCTCAAGGAGCCCAGTCATTATCTTTAATGCTGTTGATTTTTTTTCTTTGAGACAGAGTCTCGCCGTGTCACCCAGGCTGGAGTGCAGCGGCTTGATCTCAGCTCACTGTAACCTCCACCTCCCTAGGTCAAGCAATTCCCCTGCCTCAGCCTCCCAAGTAGCTAGGATTACAGGCATGTGCCACCACACTCGGCTAATTATTTTGCATTTTTAGTAGAGATCAAGTTTCACCATGTTGGTCAGGCCAGTCTTGAACTCCTGACCTCGTGATCCACCTGCTTCAGCTTCCCAAAGTGCTGAGATTACAGGTGTGAGCCACCGCGCCCAGCCTCTATTGATGTCTGAAGAGTAGTTCATTTAGAAAAAAAGGACTAAATGAGCACTAAGTGCCAGTAAAATGTATGAAAAGTACTAAACTAGATAAGCTCTCATATCTTATAGATTTGGAAGTCAAAAAGCTGGCCTGTTTTTAAACACTTGGCAAAGATTATCTTGACCAAGATACATTAGGCACTCAAATTTTCATTCGTTAAATTTTAGGATTTTTTACATTAAAATAATAAACACGTGTAGTTTAAAATCATGCTTTAAAATTCCTAACAGATATTTCTAGCACTCGTATTGTTTAACATTTTGCAGATTTTTCTAATGAAAGGAAAGTCTATTTATATGTCTAAGGTCAGGCATGTTGGTTGTGTTTAGATGTCCTGGTAATGAAAATTTGCTTAATAAATTGAGGATCAATCTTAATAAATCAGGAATTTTTCTCACTACACAGAAGATAGGAGAATAAAGTCCTTTTTTTGAATTCTTGAGTTTAACATTTCTGCAGAAGCAGTTATCAGCTTAGTCATACAGAATCAGAATTGCTTTTATGTTGCATTGTTCCCACTTTAGAAGAACCATTTTCCTTGATAATAAATGATTTGTACACTCACAGGAAATTAGGAAGATAATATTGAGTATAAAAAGAAAATTAAAAAGCAACCATAGTACCACAACCTAAAGGTATCCACAGTTGCCAATTTTGGCGTATTTTCTTTCATTCTTTTTATTCAACACTTAGTATGTGTATATTTACTTAATATCATAGGCCAAACAAAGATTAGAAGAAATTACAAATTCTGAAATACTTCTTTGTATAGAGTTTTATTATCTTTCTTAATCATTTGTGTGATAGACTATATTGGTTCTCTTGTAGAAAGTTGGTGACTGAAATGGTTTTAAAACATTTTAAAAGACGGATAAATGAGACAATTCCATAAAACCAGTTAGCAGTGATTTCTGGATAAAAGCTGCATTATCAGTTGTGACTGACTTCAGAGAAAAAGTTGTATAATTTTCTTATCATTGTGAAATGTTTCCTCTTTCTCTTGCTATTGCATGAGTGACTTCGAGTATTGCCATATGTTCATCTGCTTATATAATGCATTTCTAATTTGGAAAAATGTATATTACTTTCAGAAAGTAACAACTCATTTCCTTCCTTTTTTAAATGCCACAACATTCATTGTGATAGCATTGTCGACCTTGTAGTGATTCTTATTGTTAGTTTGCAGAAGCATTAATTCATTTCATTGTTGTCCCAGGACTAATGGAGAAATGAAAATCCCTAGCTGAATACAGAGAACACCTAGTTTTAGTGTTCTTTGTATTCAGCTAGGGATTTTCATTTCACCTAGTTTTAGTGTTCTTTGTATTAAGCAAGGTTTTCTCATCTAAAGTTCTACATCCTTCTATGATCTTAGAAGAAACTAATGTAAGCTCTTTCTATTCTTTTAGTCACTTAGGAACAGTTTTTGACTACCTGCTAAATCAGGCATATTTAATTTTTTTTCTTCCTTTCTGTTTCCACTTACTACTGTTTCTAATCATTATTTTAATAGACGCCTTACCGTCATTTTTTTCTACTTCATAATTTTCTTTTTAAATTGTAAATCTAATTGTGCCATTCTTCTATTAAAACAATTTTAGTAAATTAATCCCAATCCTATATAGAATGTTAAGTTACTTGTATGTTGTATTAATCCATTCTCATGCTTCTAATAAAGACATACCCAAGACTGGGAAATGTACAAAGGAAGGAGGTTTAATTGACTCAGAGTTCAGCTTGGCTGGGGATGCCTCAGAAAACTTACAATTATGACAGAAGCAAACACATCCTTCTTCCCATGACAGCAGCAAGGAGACAAGCAGAGTAAAGAGTGGGAAGCCCCTTATAAAACCATCAGCTCTCATGGTAACTCACTTATTATCATGAGAGCAGCATGGAGGTAATTGCCCCACGCCCCACCACTGCATCCCTCCCACAGCATGTAGGGAATTTGGGAACTACAAGATGAGATTTGAGTGGGGACGCAACCAAGCCATGCTCTATATGTTTATGATTTTATCATAGAGTATAAACTCTGATTTACTCATTTTCATATCTTCCATTGCATTCCATCACAGTGCCATGCATATAATCAATATGTAACAAGTACTTGCTAAGTTGGATTTCTTAATTATTTATTTTCTTCCCAACCCTTTGCCTTCCACCCTGGAGTTGGAGCTTATCTTTGAAGTTATATGCTCTGAATTGTCATTTTAAAATTTAATTTATAAGTGGCTCCCATTTATGTATGAGAATAAATCTTGTAGCTGCTCTGTCTACATAGTCATTCAACTTTGTGTACCTAGTGTGTGGCCATGTGCATACTCTCTCTTAGTGTCATCAAAAATCAATGTTAAGCAAATTTTATGTGGGGATAAAAACAACAACAAACAAAACCCAACCCAAGACCAGTATTCTGTATAGAAGAGAAAACTAGTCATTCTTGATTATGTGGTTTTGTGGTGCGTTTTTTGACAGTTTTGCTGGCTTGGTTTTCTTCACCTCATGGACTTAGCTGATTTAATTTAGTATATAAATATATGATACTTGCAGGGCTTAGTAGAGTTCCTAGTAAGTTTAATTTTTCTTGATTTAACAGATTTTTTTAACTTAATTACCACAGAAAATATTTTTATTTGTTATACAAAATAACAAAAGCATTAAAGTATAAAATGGGGTTTTTCAAAGCATCTGTGCTTCTAAAAGGAAAGAAATGTCAATGACTATGAGATGAGTTAGGAGACCATTAAGGTTATTCAAGCAAGTGGTATTGAGGGCTCAAACCATGGTTGTAGGGAAAGAAATGAGTAGTCAGCTACATAAATTACACAGCAGAATTTACAGGAATTGGCACTAGATAAGATGTCAGGAATTAGATATATGTTTAGAGGGAAGTCAAGTACAATTAGATATTTCTAGGTAATTGCTTAATGCCAGTCTAAATATTGCCCAAGACTTCCTACCTCTGTTACTTCGTTTATAGTATCTCTTTATTTCCCCATGTTCAACTTCTCTAACCTTAAATCTTATCTGTCTTTCAAGGTATAGATGCCTTCAGAGGCTCTCTGAGTGGGAGAAATGCTGAATTCTTATAATGCTTAGAGTCTATAGCATATTTAATAATTATTATTACTACTTAATGTCTTTCTTGTGCATCTTCTAACTAGATTGTGCCTTAAGCCTAATGAGTGGATGGTTTTGAGATGAGTTTTTTGTTATTTGTCTTAGATAAAACATAATCCAATATCAAGTTAGGTAAACTGCTTTCTCTATAGTTACTCCAGATTAAAATTTAAAAAGGTCTGTGTTTACCTACTGTTTTCATAGAAAACAGCTGTTTTTATAGTCTTTAAATCTAGATTTGCAGCTGTAATGTTTTGGAGGAAAAACGATCACAGCACCAAGGCTTGTATTAATATTATAGGATGGTTCAATACTTAGGTTTCTGCCATCTCAGTTCTCATCACTGTATGATTTTGCTCTAGTTTCTTTTCATAGTTCACTGGTAAGCTTTTCATAGTTTCACTTGGATTGTGAAACACAAAAAACTGATTCTTCTGTTCTTTGAGGTATTGACATCTAAATGGTAAAACTGTTTGCATAACGTTCCAGGATTCACTGAGGAAGTTTCTACCACAGCTACAGGAGTGGTTACAGTTTATAAATCAGAGTCCTGGAGAGCAGTGCTTGTGTGAGGTTTTCTTTAATCTCTCAAATTAGACAATCGAAGACACTGTTACACAGAATGCTTTAGCTAGTGTTTATATGTGACTTGCATCTCAACTCTTTCTTAAATGGTCTATCACTTTCTCTTTGATTGAAGAACTTACTTCTTTCCGTCACTGTATTTCCATGACTCTTAAAATATTTAAGACCCATTTAAAATATATGTTATTGCATATATAATTTTTTGAACAGTTTTACCTTGAAGTTTTTTTATGGAATAATACTAATATTTCATGATTTGATCAGAGATGTGAAAAATCCTCTTTTGGATATAAACAGTTGAACTTGTCAGAATGAAATCATAAATGTAGTTTCAAATATTTAGTAATATTTTTGAGCTTACCCCAATAAGAAAAGCAGTTAGGTTATAGCAGGACACAACATTTTAGAACGTCTCCATTATTAACACTTTATCATTATTATATTATCAAATTCCTAACACTTACTGAGACTTTACTATGTGCAAGGTACTACTTAGGCACTCTGCATACTTTGTGTCATTTAACCCTTTAAAAAATCACATTTTTATGTTTATAGTTATACACATTTTGTAGAAGGGTTTTTCCCAACGGTTGGGAACGTTGCTTGATTTGTCCATGATTAGTCATAGTAAGAACCAGTGCCATGATTGCAGAGCCTTTGCCTGCTATATGAGACATGAGTAAGACTGCACAATCTGTGAAAGCCAGAGATATGTTTTGCCTGTCATTTTAAACCTGTGACTAGCATAATGCCTGGTACATAGGTGATCTATAATAATGTTGGTTAAGTTTGCCTCTCGTCATCCAGTAGTAACAAAACCCCTCAGCAGGGCCAGAACCATTTCTGGTAACTTGGCACAGAGTGAATGTATTCCTGGCATTCCACATTGGAACTAGAAATACATTTTTCACAGAGAAACCTTGTCACATGTGGCAGGAAGTTTCATGATTGAATACTTGGAGTTACATGGGTCTTTGTACATGACCTGTAAATTCGATTGCTACTGAATAGAATAACTTCCATGAGAAAATATGTTTTTAGATAGCTTTCAAATGGACTTTGGGAGTAAAGCCTATTGTAGGTAAGAGGTAGGCTGTGGCCTATGAGGGACATGATGAGCCTTCCCTTTAGAACTCAAAGTTACTGTTAGGAGTATTGATTATAGTTTATAGGACCTCAATATGTAAAAACTGAGAAAGTTGAGCTGCTCTAGGGAATTAGGGATGAACACCTGAATGCCCACCTTCTTTGTTTCCTTCCTGCCTGTCTTCCCCTCATCTCTTGCTGCAGTGTCTGAAACTGATTTGACAAGCCTTAGGCTACTGGAAGCAGAGGATGACTAATCCTTGCTCCAGACCAGTTTCTGCATTTTTAAGTGAAGAACCCAAGGCTTGGAAAGTTAAGTGACTTCTGAAGTTACACAGCTATTTCAGGCACACAGTTAATTTGTGGCAGAGGGCTAGATGTAATTTTCAGAGTCTAGTGCTTTCTAGTTCTATTAGATTTGTTACAAGTACTATTTAAATAGAATAAATCTTTATACAAGTTTAATACTCTGTTTTACATTGTCTTTGAAAATAAATGTCCTTTGCTCAGTGCCAAGATAAGAACTAATATTAACTTATTATTTCACACTGTAAGTAACTTATTACATGTAATATGTTGCTTACAACCCTAGGAGTAGAAAGAACAGAATTTTACCACTATTCCTTTTTTAAAGTGTTAGAGTAATATCACATAGCCAACAAGTTGCAGAAGAATTCAAAAGTAGATTTTCTCGCATAAGATTTGAAACTGGACTCACTTAAGTGAACTGGTTCAGCCAGTCTGGATTAGAGAAACAAGCCTTTAATTGTAGTGTTGGTGAAGTGGGGTGGGCCACTTGCGGGTTAAAGAGGAGGTTTGGAAAAAGGCCCTCATCCCTGAACTCTATATTGAGGGAACAAATAAAATCTTGCTAAATTAAGGGATTGCAGATTTGGAACAACGACTAGAGTGAGTATATACTTTGTTTTATTGAGATAATATGATGAAAAGGAGCATTTTCTCATACTAGATTTAAGTGTTTTTTAAAATTAATTAGCTATATGACTAGTTAAGTCAGTTGTTCCTTCTAAGCCTTGATGGTCTCATCTGTAAAATGAGAACAGTATTAACCTGTGAACCCTGCTCTGATTGCTCAGAACTCTTTTTTTTTTAATCTGAGTTCTTTGAATTTCAGTATTTTCAGCAACTATATTGCTAAATTACGAAATTGTTATTATGTTCCTATATAGAATGTAGAAATACTAGAAACTTATTACTGAAACTTACTACTGGCATCAGAAAGACACCAGCTATCATGAACCAAACAAGTTGTGTTACTTTTTTTGGTGACAGATTTGATGCCCCACCCATTTCAAGCCTGGTTTTCTCTTTTTATTTTGGTTGTAAAATGACTAAATTCTCTCTTATCTATGAAATAGTAGTTAGTGAATTGTTCCATCATTAATTAATGTTTTTTTTTCCTAGTTATATAAGTTTGGAGAGACAGTTTCTATTGTTTTTTGGACAGACACTTGGAGACCAGAAAGCTTCTTTGACAAAGTGAAGAAGAACAGACAAAATGGCATGCATACATTATGTTTACTAGGTAAGGGTTTTGGAATTTCCTTGAAGTCACAATATGGAACTATCATATTGTTCTCATATTGATTTTGTGTTAGGGTTCTATGGATAATTAGCCAGAGGTAAGAAAAGACACAGTCTAGCCATTTTATGCAGACCACACTCTTCCCATATTCTTAGAGAGACCTGCATCTTCTGCTTCAAATACTGCATGGCTATTTCTGCATGCACACTCTAGTTATGCTGCTCTCTCTTATGCCCTAGTAGATCCTCTCCAGTATTCCATATGTTACCCATTTGTCCATCAAGGATTTACTGCAATTTAATAGACTTTCATTGAGCAAATCTTACCAAGGACCATCCTGCATCTTCCTAGGGAGGTTCTTTGAATACTGCAGTATTGATGCTATCAGATTCACAGTGATAGGTCTAAAAGAGACTCTGGAGATCATCTTATTGAAGCTTGTTTTACAGATGAAGTTGAGGCTCAGAATATTGAATTATTTCCCCAATGTCACCTAGTCAATCGGTGGCAGAACTGGTAAAATCAGATAGCCTTTTGTTAATAGTTCATTTCACTGTACCATCTTAGCCAAATCCTATTTTCTGTTTAGTGTGGAAAGAGCTGGGATCACTGCCTTTGTTTATCAAGATAATAGTACTGAGTTTCAGAAAGGCATGGTATTTTCTTTCTGGCAGAGGCACTGACATTTTACTGATTCAATTTTGCTAATCAGCCTCTATTCTAGTAGCATATGTTGTAGAAGGAAATACTCGTACAAAGCCTTAGTCTGTGACTGAAAGAAACACAGCTAACTGACATTTTTGATAACTTTGAAATGATACTTCTACTTGGAATCAGAAGACAGAAGTCCCAGTGCTGCTACTTACTAGCTAGAGAATACTGTAAACTTTCCTTAGCCTTTATATTTATCAAATAGGAGTAATTCCTCCTACCTCATGGAGTTGTATAGAGCAGTACTTCTCAAACTATTTGTGGTAAAGAACTATGTTTGAGTTTTTTAAAATATATGTTTGATTTTTAATTTTTCAGTCCTTTATGTCAGTATCAAGTTACTATAAATGTTTGTACATATTCTTACTCCTGTAGTTACTTCATCATTTACTGGTAACACAAAGCTCACATACTGGCACTGGTCCTGAGATCATACTTTGAATTGTACTATCTTAGTGAAACTGTGTGTGAAGTTACTTACCAAAATGTCTATCACATACAAGATCAGGGAAGGGATTACAGACATGTACCACGATGCTTGGTTAGTTTTTGTGTTTTTAGTAGAGACGGGTTTTGCCATGTTAGCCAGACTGTCTTGAACCCCTGGCCTCAAGTGATCTGCCCACCTCTACCTCCTAAAGTACTGGAATGACAGACATGAGCCACCATGCCTGGCCCCCTTTTTATTCCTGACACCTTAGATCTAGATTAGGCCGTAAATGCTTCTCTAATACATTTTATTTTGTCTAATGCCAATATTTGCAATCAGCTAGTATGATGTTTTCTTATTTTAGTTTATTGCCAGTGTGATTTAGTTCTTCATTCATCATTAATTAGCTTTATAATTTCATCCATGGATTTTCCATGTGAAAAGAGACTGGTCTTACTTTTTTATAGTCGTTACTAACAAGGACACTATAAGACTTGTGAGTTGGTGTGGACTATGCCATCAGATATATCCATCTTGTTATTCCAAAGTTAGATCCAGTTAAGGTCAGCTGTGGGTAGAAGGTCAAAGTAGAATGATAGGAGAAGGATAACTTTTAAAAGGACTTTTGCTGAAGAAGTAGATGTATCTGAGGGATGAAAAATGGTGATTCATTGAAGCTCAGATACTAAAATGAATGTTTTATAACAGTACTGAAAGTTTCTAAAACAGAACAGGGAAGGAAGAATCTGAGAGGCAGGCTACCTGATAACGTCCCCATATATCCTTTAAAAATGACGGGAAGGGGAGCAAACAGCACTACCTTTCCAGAAGCTTTGGAAAGGCAGATAGAAGATCAGTGTAGAGGTATTTATTGAGTGCTTACTCTATGCCTCATGTAGAGTTAGGTTCTTTTGGAATACTAAGGAAATATAGACTGGGTCCTGCTCTCAGAGCTTTGAAATGTAGTTTGGAACTAATGTGTCATGCACGTGAAAGTTTAAAGAACAATTAAGTTCTATTGTATGGAGAGGCAGGAAGGACAAACCAAAATTTTGGCTCTTGAGTTCTCTTTCTAAGAGCTGCCCCTTTTCTTAGCTTTCCGGGGAAAAGACAAACAAGGTTAAACAATATATCTTCCTTGCTCCATTAACAAAAGCAGGAACAGGGTGTCAAGTATAGTACGTCATGATTTCAAATCCTCAAACCATAGTTCTCATCATTTTATCATCTGGCATTCTCATTATTTAAATTAGTATCTATTTATTGAATGCTTGCTGTGGGTTAAGTTCTGTAGGGATTAGTGAGGATAAACCATGGTAGGAAAACACAGAATTTAAAATTTACTTAGAAAGATAAGGCCAATATATATGATATAATTAGAGGTTAATAAAAGCATTAATTGTATAGATCTTTCCAAGAACAAAAAGCATTTGAGGGAAGTCAACAAAGACTTTATGAAGGAATTAGGACTTGTGTTGCCCAGAGGGTGGATAGTTTAAGATGAGCTGGTGACTGAGTGGTAGGAGAGCAACGTGAGTAAATTTATTTAGTAGGCATTTATGGAGTGTCTCCTGGGTACTTCACATTATGCTAGGTCCTGGTACTAAGATGAATCAGAAAAGCTTACATACTAGCAAGTAGAAATGCAGAGGAAACATTATGGACTATGTGAAGACAAGGGACAATTAACATGGGGTCTGGGTTGAGACTAAGTCACTAATGCAGTCCTTGATTAAAAAGGATTTGCCTGCAAAAATTCTCCTCAACCCTCTTTATTTTAAAAATCAGATTCTATAGAGCATATTTGAAAAGTAAAGAAAACTGAAAATGTGAAAACTCTCCCTATTCACAAACTACATTTCAGAAGCTCAGTGCAAATGAATTAATAAATGGTTAAATTTGTACAAAATCTTACAAACATCAGTGAAAAGAAATCTAAAAGTTGACTTACACCATTGATTATATTGGAGGCCATATTGTTAATAACAGAAATTTTTTCTCCATAATGTGCCACACAAGTAGAAATATTAAATAAATAATTTAAGATTAATCTCTGCTATAATTTCCAAGCAAACTCTTTGATATCTTTTATAAGAAACACTTCTATAATCACTTAGGAAATCTGCAGAAGTCTATTAAAGACTCCTCAGTTGCACTATGTTTATTTTTGCAAAAACAAACTTTGGCTGAACCATTTGTTTTCAGCATGTAAAGCAGGAAGCAGCTGTTGCTGTTGTATACTGAGTTCCTTTGAGGATGTAGAGTGATTCTGCTTTTTTTTACCTTTTACCAAATAGTTCAGTTGAGCATTAGTCATTAAAAAGTATACCAAATCAAATATTTGTGATGCTCGACTGTTAAGCTTCTTGAGAACATAGGTTATATCTGGTCAGGTCCCTGCAGTATCCCAGTCTCTGGCACAGTGCCTGACACACAGTCGGTGCCCAAAGCCTGTTAAAAGCATGAATACTTGGAATTATTTATTCATAACTATGGCATTTGTTAACATTCATAAGAAAGCAAAAGACTTTTTAAAATGTGGTAAAGATTTTTTTTCGACTTAGGTTACATCTATCGAAGGCCTTTGAGTTGGATGTGTGCAGTTACTAGCTGGTAGAAATGAAAACAAAGATTTTGATTAGCTGTTAGTAGTGTATATGCCAACGTTTATCTAATTATTTCCTTTGTCTTCTTTTCCAAAAGGAAATTAGATCTTAGCAGGATGGTCTCAGGGCCAAGCTCATGTTTTCTAACTAGTGGCACAACCACAAGCTTCCATTCTCTATGTTACTGTAAGAAAGTGGCCAATTAAAGTGCAAGGGAGGAATGTTTCCCCAAAGTTTAGGTGACTCTTAACTGAAGTTTACAGGTAGGGTTTGGGATAAAGTTTTTAATTAAATTAAAAGAACTATTTTTACTTCCTGCAGACATCAAAGTAAAGGAGCAGTCTTTGGAAAATCTAATGAAGTAAGTTGTTATTCTGAGAATGCATACATTTGTTTTATTTCCTTGAACAATTCAATAAATTCTACTTAAATGACCTGAGTTCTAAAGATGGTTGAAAATGAGCTTTCATTAACAGTGTGAACATTAAACATTTTTATTTTTATGAAATCATAAGCAGTATAATAGAGTAGACATAGCAATAAATTTTGTAGGTTAAACACTGAGAACAGTGGTGGGCATCTAACAAACACTCAGTATTTGTGGAATGAATTAATGCATTGGGATTCTGAAAACATGGATTTGAGGCTGGGCGGGGTGGTTCATGCCTGTAGTTCCACACTTTAGGAGGCTAAGGCAGTTGGCTTGCTTGAGGCCAGGAGTTTGAGACCAGCCTGGCCAACATGGCAAAACCCCATCTCTACTAAAAATGCAAAAATTAGCTGCACCTGGTGGCACTTTTCTTTAGTCTCAGCTATTTGGGAGATTGAGGCACGAGAAGTGCTTCAATCCAGGAGGCATAGGTTACAGTGAGCCGAGATCACACCACTGCACTCCAGCCTGGGTGACAGTGAAACCCTGTCTCAAAAAAAAAGACGTGGGTTTGAGTCCCGAGTTTGCCTCTAGTTGAGTTCTTCCATCTGGTAGACAGAGGTTGCAATGAGCCGAAATCACATCACTACACTCCAGCCTGGGTGAACAGAGTGAGACCCTGTCTCAAAAAAAAGACATGGTTTTGAGTCCTGAGTCTGCCTCTAGTTGAGTGCTCTTGGGAAAGTTAATTCCATCTCTGAGCCTTATTTTCTTCATATGTATAATGACAGAACTAACTTTTTGCTTAGAGAGGCAGAGTGTCAAATACAGTACCCACTACCCACATGTGACTAATGACATTTAAAATGGGGTTAATGTGACTGAGGAACTGAATTTTTTATTTAATTTTAATTAATTAAAAACTGATACCCAATTTTGTTATTAGAAAACTTTTAAATACATTTGGAACAAATTTAGCATATAAATCTACTTTTATAACCATAAATTTTATGAAATTTAAATACAGATCAACTATTTCCAATGAAAATTTACCATCGAAATTAAGATGTGCTGTAAGTACATACCAGATTTCAAAAAGACTTAATATAAAACAGTAAAAAATTAAAAATTTTTATATGAGTAGGTGTTAAGTTACAACATTTTGGATTAAATAAAATATTAAAATTTTTGCCTTTTTAAAAACTTTTTTGTTAATATGGCTGCTAGAAAACTTGATTATATATGTGGATTTATTTATATTTCTGTTAGATAGCATTGACAGAGAATTGTTTTGAGAGTCAAGAAAATAATCTGTATGAACTGCATTGTAAGCTACAGTAGCTATATTTTTATTAGTACGGAAGTTTGGCAAGCCTGGTAGACTTTTGAGACATACAGAAGTAAACATATGTCATCACCTGAGGTTTTTAAGCATCCAAGATGCTTAGTTTACTTCTTTTAGAGGAAAAAAGTGAAAAGAAGAATATGTGGTTTAAAAATGGTCATAAAAAAACACTAAATAACCTGATTAAGCTAGAGTATAGACCAAGTTGCCCCTTACTTGAATTGTTTTTGCTGAAGGTATCACTTTGAATAAAGGTAACTTTAATTTAGACATCTATCTATGTATTCCTACCATCATTCCAGTGAGATCAGGGAAAGTTTAAGTAGAACAGTGAAACAGCTTAAGAAATGAACAATCATCATGCTTTTGTATATGCTTAAAGTGAGTACATGTAAAAAACATCAAACAGAATGTAGGTTGTGGTACTTGAGTATACCTGGGAGAGTAATTGCATTAATAATGTATTACGTAGGTTTATGGCTAAGAACAGTGGCATCTACTTTTCTACCTATAGGGGAAGGAAGATCTATGAACCTCCGCGGTATATGAGCGTAAACCAAGCAGCTCAGCAGCTTATGGAAATTGTTCAAAATCAGAGAATACGAGGAGAAGAACCAGGTACCCAAGACCGTAGAATGGGGTCTCATATTATTCCTGTTTCTGCATTTAGAAGTGTATATGAAACACATCTAAATGCATACCTCACACCACTGTGGAAGCAAGAGTCAGTGTTTTCGCATTGTACTATTTCTTGTCATTTTTGTCCAACTTTAACTTAAATCTCATAGACTTCAAGTTGTAGTGAAAGAAAAAAAATGGCATTCTTTTATAATAAAATTAACAACATTCCAGAAAGTGAGGATTTTTCACAAATTAAACGTGTCAGACTTGATATAAATATGTTAGTGTATAAATATTTTTGTAAAATATATCTTTCATGTTATCCTTAATCAATGGTGAGATCTGTTTTGCAAAAATATACCTATTCTACTTTTATTTTCCCCTTTTTTATTCTAAACACTGAGACTAGGACTAGTTTTCTTCAGGGTAAATGTAAGAGAAAATTTGTTCTTAAATTCCTAATATGTGGACACAGTATGTATTATATAATAAAAATGTTTATTGTCAATAAATCTTTATGGGAGGGTTTTTTTTTGTTTGTTTGTTTTTGTTGTTGTTGTTGTTTTTTGAAACGGTCTCACTTTGTTGCCCAGGCTGGAGTACAGTGGTGCAATCTTAGCTCACTGCAGCCTCTACCTCCTGGGCTCAAGTGATCCTCCTACCTTAGCTGGACTACAGGTGCATGCTACCATGTCTGGCTAATTGCTTTGTGTGCTTTTGGCAGAGACAGGGTTTTACCATGTTGCCTAGGCTGGTCTTGAACTCCTCAGCTCAAGCAGTCCTCCCACCTTGGCCTCCTAAAATGCTGTTATTACAGGTGTGAACCACCATGCCCAGCCTACTGTGAGATTTTTTTTTTCTTTTTTTTTTTTTTTTTTGGTAATGGGGTCTTGCTTTGTTGCGTAGGTTAGAATGCAGTGGTGCAATCACAGCCCACTGCAGTCTCTGCCTCCCAGGCTCAAGCGATCCTTCCACCTCAGCCACCTGCGTGGCTGGGACAACAGGTGCATGCCATCATACTCAGTTAATTTTTTTGCATTTTGGTGGAGATGGGTTTCACCATGTTGCCTAGCTGGTCTCGAACTCCTGAGCTCAAGTGATCCGCCCACCTTAGCCTCCCAAAATGCTGGAATTACAGATGTGAGTCAATATGCCCAGCCAAGAGATTCCTGAGTGATTCTTGCTATTTTATTCTCATTAGTAGGCCATGTTACAGTCGTGAAATAGTCTGCAAGGAGGTTCTGTATCCATAACTTTGTAAAGAGGTTGCTTGCATTGCTGTTTGTCCTTGGATAAATCATTGGCCCCCTTTTGATCATTGTTCAATCAAGATCACTTTCCCCACTAAATAATACAATCATTAAAGGGTAAGCCCTTTAGCTGTAGCACCAGAGTGAATAATAGTAGAGTTCATTAAGGCTGGCTGTTTTGAACTTAAAAATGTAAATATTCCAAATGTTCATTATTTGTTAAGGAATCTGTAGTCTACTAGTCTCATATCTACTATCTTAGCCCTTATTACCATGATTTAAATGAGTATTACATTTTAGTAAATGAGAAAACTGAAGCTTGTCACATAGCCAATTGGATGGACAGGCAGAAACTCAAATCTGTGCATTTATTTCATAATCTCATAGTTTCTTCAGTAGATCTAGGTCAGTATGAACATATCTCAAACAAGTTATTAACAACATTGTTTACTCAGAACCTATTTAAAGACAAATTCTGTACAAATCTAGAGTATAAGTATAGCTTATCAAGTTCTGAAAACTCAATTTAAGTCTCTGGAATTCTGAAAGGGTAAAGTTTAGAAGTACTCTTTTATATATTAGGTAGTACAAATGATTTAGAAAAGCCTTGGATTAATTAATGGATAAGTCATTAATTATCTTGAATGGCTAAAGAGATTTAAGATATTTGGGGCTTCTTGAAATGTACTTGTAGTACTAATGTTAGTTTGACTGTTGGACAGGATGATGCATTTGCTGAATTGAATGGCAGTATCTTTTTTTTTTTTCTTTTTTTAATAGCAATTACCGAGGAAACACTTTGTGTTGGCTTAGCCAGGGTTGGAGCTGAAGACCAGAAAATTGCAGCAGGCACTTTACAGCAAATGTGTACTGTGGACTTGGGAGAACCACTGCATTCCTTGATCATCACAGGAGGCAGCATACATCCACTGGAGATGGAGATGTTAAGTCTGTTTTCCATACCAAAAAATAGCTTAGAATCTCAAAGCATTGATGGACTCGGAACATAGACATTTTCTATTGTCTGATGTAAATTTCAGCCATGTATGGATTGATATGGTTTGAATTTTAATCCCCATAATCTCCAGGTGTTGTGGGAGGTAATTGAATCATGTGGGCAGTTTCCCCCATGCTGTTCTCATTATAGTGAGTTCTCATGAGATCTCATGGTTTTATAAGCATCTGGCATTTCCCCTACAGACTCTCATTCTCACTCTTTCCTCCCTGTGAAGAGGTGCCTGTTGCCATGATTGTAAGTTTCCTGAGGCCTTCCCAGCCATGTGAAACTGTGAGTCAATCAAACCTCTTTTATAATTACCCAGTCTTAGGTGTTTCTTCTTAGCAGCATGAGAATGGACTGATACATGATGCATGCATGCTTGTGTAACAGATCTTTGGCTTGTCTAATAAGTATAAAACAAATGACCAAAAAGAAGCTGACTCAACAATGCTTTGTTTCCTGTGGCAGTGAGTTTTTTCCCTATGATATCATCAGTTGTTGCTACTATTCTGGCAACTTTTCTGGATGTACACATGTATAGCAGACCAGGCTGGAAAGCTTGTGGATAGACATCCATTGACAGAATCATTTAAGAACAGTTTTTATTTAAGAAACCAATTTATACAAGGTGGTTGTTAACAGAATATAACTTAGAGGTAACTGGAATTTGAATCACTTGAATCTCAGTTTTAAACGGTAAAAAAATATTATGAGTGCCAACAAAAGCAAATAAAAGATTAGTAAATGTTCACAAAATATGTTTATAATTTTCTTCTTTTTAAAAAAGCTAGCTGTCCTAATTGCATGATGAGTTGTCCTGACAGCAGCGGATATTAGTGTATATAAACAAAGGTAGAAAGGTTACATAGCCATCCAGCAGTCCTACTTAAAGCTCAGCTGAGCACATGCCACAGAATGACACCCTTCTGAATTCACTGTCTTGGTTAGCTGACATCCTAATTATGTGTTCATATTCTGCAGTATTTTCGAGGTTATATCATTGTTTAATTATAAATGTTCAGCCAGCCTTGTACAGTTGATGTTTGGTTTTAAATAGCATCTTTCACATCCAGCCAGACAAATGGAAAACCTGCTGATTACAAAATAAAATTTTTAAAAATGTAAGTTTGAAGGCAACAGTGAATTAGTCAAGATATGCCGTACCACTTAATTAAGTTAATATGCCGTTATTTATGTGCAAGTAGTCACACTTTTCTTACCAGTTTTAAATAACACTCCATGTATTATATTTCATGACCAAAAAGTTTTATACTTTTTGTCTGTTCTGAATAGAAATAGCTTTCTTGTGTGCTGGTTCAGTTGGTCCAACTCTTAAGTATTTCCATGGCCTAATCAATTTTTCTGAGCTCTTTACTTAGTAAGTTCATTACTAAGTTCAACTTAGGAAGTTGAACAAAGATTTCTGTACTCTGTGGGATCATCAGTTAGCTAATGATTATTTGACTTATTTTACGTCATTTGAGATAAGATATATAAACAATGCTTTTTTTTTTTTTTTTTTTTTTTTTTTTTGAGACAGAGTCTCTGGTCGCCCAGGCTGGAGTGCAGTGGTATGATCTTGGCTCACTGCAACCTCTGCCTCCCAGATTCAAGTGATTCTCCTGCGTCAGCCTCCGAGTAGCTGGGATTACAGTCAGGTACCACCACACTTGGCTAATTTTTTTTTTTTTTTTTTTTTTTTTGTATTTTCAGTAGAGATGGGGTTTTTGCCATGTTGGCCAGGCTGGTCTTGAACTCCTGACCTCAAGTGATCTGGCTGCTTTGGCTTCCCAAAATGCTAGGATTACAGGCATGAGACACCACACCCAGCTTCATTTTCAATCTGTTAGACACAGAAGGGGAGAGAGCCAAGTATATTTAAATACTAGTTGTATATTATTTTCTTCTCATATGTTAAACTAAACATTTAAGAACTATAAAATGAGGGAATTCTGGTTTTGGTAGTGGTGTAATAGCTTATAATGTACAAACCCTCCTGATTATAAACTGTGGATAAAATATAATAAACAATGGTCTACAAACTCTAGGGAGTCATTGAAGACAGCTGTGAACTACATACAGTTTTTCCCCTTAGGTCATTCCCAGACTGTGTGGTAAGGAGTGGCTAGAACTCAAGAGAAAGTTGCAGTCTCACTGGCTTGAGGTGGTAGGATGGAATTGAGGGCTGCTAGAAGCACTGAAAATTAAAGTGGCAGATACTACAAATGAAGGTGTCAGAAATGGAGGAGGCTTCCTATCTGCATATGATCTCTCCTTAAATCCTTGGCTAACTTGCGAACCATGCATGCCCTGGGAAGACTCCAAGGACCTAGGTGGAAAGCCACAGTTGGAAGGCTGAAGAAGCTGAACAGAGATGGCTGCTCTCTATTGCAACAGAAGACAGAGTTTCAAGTTTGAATTCTGACGAGTTAGAATAGCTTGATAGAACCTTGAGCTTCCCAAACCCCAAAATGGCCGTGTGTTAGTAAAGACTACGTAAGAGTAAAGATTTATGCTAAAACTAAGGACAAAACCTTTAACATAATATAAAATCAAAGCGATTAGCTGATAATTTAAATGAGATCAAAGCTTAGCACTCTTCAGGGTATAATAAAATGAATCTCGATAACATACTAACAATGACTGGAATACAGGATGTCCAAAGAAGTAAGAAAATATGGCGTATAGCTTATGTTTTTTTTTTTAAAGCAGACTATAGAAAAAAAAAATCCTAACATAAACTAGATGATAGTGGAATTAGCAGACAAGGATTTTTAAAGCAGTTTTTAGAACTATGTTCATGGATGAAAAAGTAAGGTGGTCGTAATGAATGAATATAGATGCGTACTTTCACCCAGAAAGTGGAAACGTAAAAAAACTGGTTGGGCTTAACCACAGAATACAGATGACACATGAAAGAAATTGTCTAATCTGAGGAAGAGAGAAGAAAAGATTAGAGAGAAGGCAAAAAGCACAGAGGCTCAATGCCTTTTGGAGCATATGTGATTTAATTTCCAGAATAGAAGCAAAATAGAGCAGAAAGAAATGGAAGTAACTTGCAGGCCAGAATTACCCCAAATTTGGTAAAGCTATCAACTCCAGATTGAATAAACTCAGTGAACCCCAAGTGGAATAAATAAAGTCACACCTAACATAACATGTAAAACTGATGAAAACCAAGGATAAAAGAAAATCTTAAAACCTACCAAGGGTGGTAGTAGGGAAGCTACCAAATTTTTTTATTTGAAATTAAACTTAACTAGGTTCCTCTGTTTGCTAAATCTGGCAATCCTATTCTGTATGTAACTTAACCTCAATTTAAATGAATTGTAAAATGAACACTCCATTATTCAGCAGGGAAAGGATGAACAACAGTATTTTCAGTCTACTGTCTGAAATCCCAATGTTAGTTAAAATAGAAATGCCTGAAGGCTGCATACATTTGTTTGATTTTTTATGTAATAGTGTTTAACTCTTTAATACCATTCATTTTAATGTTCTTTAAAATTATTATGTAGTAAAACCTCATTCCATAATCTAGATATAGAACAGTTTCATCACCCAAAAGAACTTCTACTATCCCTTTATATTCATTCCTCTAGTTCATTCCTCTTTATTGCTTAGTAGTGTTCTCTCATATGGATAATTTGTTTATCTGTTCGCTATTTGAGAGATAGTTTCCACTTTTCAGTGATTATGTATAAAGTTGTTAAAACATTCACATACAGGTTTTTGCCTGAAATTTTATCCAGAGGCTTGCTGGATCACATGGTTAAGTGTGCACCTAATTTTATAAGAAACTGCCCAAATGATTTCCAAAGTGCCTGTACATTTTGCATTCTCACCAGCATTGTACAGGTTCCCATTGCTCTGTATATTGCCAGCACTTTACGTTGGCAGTATTTTTGAACTATTCTGATAGGGGTACAGTGGTGTCTTGGTTGTGGTTTTAATTTGTATTTCCCAATCCCTAATGATGTGGATCATCTTTTCACGTGCTTATTCACCATTCTGTATCCTATTTGTTGAAGCATTTGTTCATGTCTTTTGCCTACTTTTAAATTGGATTGTTTCCATATGGTTAAATTTTGAGCATTTGATAGATATTCTGGATAAAAATTTTTGTAAGATATATGACTTGCAAATATTTTCTCTACATCTGTAGTTTGTCCTTAACCATTTTTGATAGAGCAAAAGTTTTAAACTTTAAGTTCAGTTTATGTTTTTTCTTATATGGATTATGCTTCTGTTGCCATGTTTAAGATCCCATCACCATACTCAATACATAGACTTGGTATTTGTATGAAATGTGAGTTTTAGGTCCACCGTCTTTTTTTCTTTTTTTTCCATGTAGATGTTTAGTTACAACATCTTGATAAGAAGACAGTTCTTCCATTGAATTGTTTCTGCACCATTGTAAAAATCATTAAGCCATATTTATGTAGATCTCTTACTGAACTCTTCTGTTCTATTAATCTGTGTGTCTCTCCCTTCTATGATACTATGCTGTCTTAATTACTTTAGATTTATGGTAAATCTTAAAAACAGGTAGTGTGATTCCTTTAACCTTTTTCAAAATTATTTTAGCTATTCTAGTTCCTTTGCCTTTCCATGTAAAAGTTAGAATAAACTTGTTGAAATATACAAAGGAGCTCGTGAGATTTTGACTGAAATTCTTTGAAATGGTGTGGCTATTTTGGGGTTTATTCTGTTTTGGGTTTGCCCAACTTCTTGACTCCAGGTTTATGTCACCAAACTTGGGAAGTTTACAGCCATTATTTCTTCAGATCTTCTTTCAGCACTATATACTTTATCCTCTCTTTGAGAAATTCTGATAAATATAAATGTGAGACATTTCTTATTACCCATCAGGTTCCTGAGCTCTGTTCATTGCTGTTGTTATTTCAGTATGTTTTCTCTGCTGCCCAGGGCTGATAATTTTTATCCATCTATGAATTCATTGACTCTTTTCTCTGTCTTCTCCATGCTGCTATTGAGTCCATTCTGTATGTTTTTAAAATTTTGGTTACTGTTGTAAAATTTCCATTTGGTTCTTTTTATATCTTCTGCTTTTTATTTGTTGCAAGATTATTTGTGATTTCTTTGCCACGTATTTTTCTGTAGGTGTGTGAGCATTTTATATAGCATTTTCGTATTGCTTGTTTGAGCATTTTAAATGCCTGCTTTAAGGTCTTTGTTAGATAATTCCAAGATTGGTTATCTCAGTTTTAGCATCTATTGATTGTTTTTCTTTTGTAAGTGAAAAATTTTTATAGCACTTTGTCAAGTGATTTTTCATTATAGCTTGGATATTTTGAATATTATGAGTTGCTGGGTCTTGTTCAGATTTAATGGAGAGTATCAATCTTTTTGTTTTAGCTGGCAACCAACCTGTTAGGTTTAGGATGCAATTCTAGCTTGCTCTTCATGGGCTACAGTTCCAGTATAAGTTACTTTCAAAGACTGCAGTTCTCTTTGGATCCATCTCAAGTTTGTGGCATGCAGTTTGGGACTTTAGTCTGTTGGATAGTTTAGTTCTCAAGATTCTCAAGGCTAAGTAGAATCAGATCCAAGCATCAGTAATTTGAGGATGATGTTTGGGGTTCATAAACAACTTTATGAGGTTGCTTTCCTGGGTTCCTCCCATTCCATCATCTCTCCACTACTTCCTGATTCTCTGGGCTCCCTTTCTTGGTTGGTCCTCTGGCCAGAAATTTGAGGATCTCGTTACTCTACTCTTACTATTTCATACCTTCATTACTGGGCCTGCATTCTTATCCAAGTGGAGGGAGCACAGAGAGAAAAGAAGTAGCAGGGTTGCTGAACTCTTGAAACCATAGCTCTACCAAACAGAAATCTTCTCCTCTCTCAAGTTTTAGTTCCTGTGGGCTTCCATAGCTGCTGGCCACCACCACAGGGTTGTCTAGGGGAAGCTTTTGGAAGCCAGTGGCAAGTCTTCCCTCCAACTAATGTAACTACAAATGTAGTAGCCCTGCCTTCTTTTGAAGTCTGTAGAAACCAACACAAACTGTGTACAAATTATTGCTCATGAGGAAAGTAGTATGATACACATACAAAACAGATAAACCCTGTAAAGTTGAACATTATGATCCAACTTATTGTCTAGGGTGGGAAGACAGTGATAGCTAATCAGATGGACCTTATTTTATGTGTAATTTTATAAGTAACTATGATATACTCAAAAGTCCAAGCCAAATGGCCAAGCCAAGCCTTAATTGCTATGAAAGTGTTCCTGCATATATGTGAATCTGAGTATCTTTACTTAAACAATACCACATTTAAAAAATACTATTTGGTGGATACATTCACGATATATGTTTTATAATGTCTTTTGTATTGTTTTATTCTTTGCTTTAGCAGTTGCTCTTTCACAAAAAGTACTGTTCACTTTAACAATTCATATAGAATCACTTTAAACTACATTAAAAAGCAAAAGGCATCCTTTTTTTTTTTCAATAAATTGATTGCCTTGCCTACACTGTGCCAGACTATGCATTTCTTACTGTTAACATTAGCAAATAAAGGTATTGTGCATTTAAGTGTTGGTAGTATATGCTAAGCCTGAATCTCATGGTAGATTTTTTTTGTCTGAAAGTAGAACTGAGTGACCTGACAATGTTTTAATTAACTAGAATCCCATTAAAATGTGGTTTCCTCTTTTTTTTTTTGGAAAAAAATAAAAATAAATAGTAAATTGCCATCATTCTGTTTACATCTTTTGAACCTGTTTACTCCTGTCTTTGCTGCTTTTTGCTGTAGACGAATTGAAAGTTTGGTGCCATATCAAGGGAGGGAAAGAAAAGCATATGAGTTTCCAAAGTTGTTCAGGAGAGTTTATACTTGATAAGCATTAGAGAACCACTCAAGATTCCTGAGCCAGAGGACTGAAAGTGGAAACTGGGAAAGCAAGACCAGTGTAACACAGGGTGGCTTCCCTTCCCACAACTGTTTGTACCAAACAACTTCCTAAGCCAGTGTGTACACAGGAGAGGCTGCTCTGAAGGAGTGTTAATAGGCCACTGCAGAATTAGGCCAGAGGCTAATTCCAGAGAACACAGGATAGGTAAGGAGTCTCAGTCTAGCAGGTCAAAGTGCACGATGCAGAGGGGCCAGCAGGAGGCATTCAGGAAGCCAGGGCAGGACAAATGTTTCAAAAGAGTCCGGACAAAAGTTGAATTTAACAAAAATTCCTTGTACTCCCTGCCAAAGCCAGAATTGTTTGAGTTGGGGCTAAAATGGAGATGGCTAGATCTGGGCAAGGAAAGTGATTCTGCTTGCAGTCATCAGTGAAATCCTGGAATAGGGGTGTGGGAACGGAAAAGAATTTGGAAGATTTCAAAGGAAGAAAGACATTTTATGATGTGTTGGGGGGAAATGGGGGAGGGACAGGGAGTGGAGACGTGGGGAGAGATAGCATGGGGAGAAATGCCAGATGTAGGTGAAGGGGAGGAAGGCAGCAAATCACACTGCCACATGTACCTATGCAACAGTCTTGCATGTTCTTCACATGTACCCCAAAACCTAAAATGCAAAAAAAAAAAAAAAAAAAAGAAATTAATTCAGGTAATTCAGGAAACGGTGGTAATAAATGCATTGCTTAGTTTTCTAAGAATTCTATGAAGAATTCTGACAAATTGGGAGTTGAGAATTGAATGAGAAAGATTAGTTTTCTCTCAGTTTTGAATTTGATATGCTGGTAGTTCTGCCACAAATGTGACAAGAAGTAAGCCACTGATGGCCTTTAAGCAAATTCTACAAAACAGGGAGGAGTGAAGCCATTCTGCTAGGAGCTATGGAAATGGTTAGATAGGAGGCAGAAGCAGCAAATGTAGACACAGATAAGGAATCTGACAGCAGACATGCTGAGGATAAGGCCCTTAAAGCATGGCAGAGGCTGCTTTGGTAAGAATACCTTTGAGAAAGAAGGTGGCATGAGTGGTGCCTGGGATATTATGGAAGTTATTTTAAAAAGGAATTGTTTCTAATTGGGGGTAAAATTTGGAAGTTATCATAATGGAGGCTCACATCAGATACTTTGGTCTTTTGTCGTAAGATGAAGTCATCCATAGAAACTGTGATAAGAGAACAATTTGGGGCTAATGGAAATATCTGGAAGTAAATAATTTGAGACATGTATATGAGGTCAAATGCTGACTAACAGCGACAAAGAGGCTGTTCACAGTGTAAAGATACTTCCAACCTCCTAGCTTCTCTTCTCTCCTAATGAGTTCCGCTGTTTCTTGGCTCTGAGAATCATTCTTTGCCTTTCATCCCTTACATTTTCTAGAATCTATTCCAATAACTGTAAGGTTCACAATGTTCATTTCAGTTCATCAAACTGATAGACACAATTCAGGTAGAAATTTTTAGACAAATTTTATTGAAAGAATTTTGATACAGTTCGTGATTCTTTTTAAATACATACGAAGTTTAACAAAATATTTACATGAATGTGTTCAAGTAGAAAATGTGAAATATACATTATAGATTTGTTGTATTGCACTTAGGCAAATCATAATTGCTCACTTCAGCATATTCAATCCAAATCACAACATAGTCTTTGAAAGTTGGCAATATAACCTAGCCTTGTACTCAAACATTTTAAGAAATGTTTTGATGCCATAATCTTCACCTAAGGAAACAAACCCAAATACTAACTTGGACATATGTTTAAACCCCACTAATGGCAGGGAGGTAAAGTGTTGTAGGGATGTTTAAAATATGCTAAGAAGGGATTTGGCAACTTTTCATTCACAGTATTTCCAATACAAAGACATTCTGTTTATCAAACTCACAAAAGTGGGGGGAAAATATCACTTGGGAAAAACTTTCACTGAATTGCTGTTAAAGGAAGCAATGAAGTTACTTGACAAACTTGACATGACAAGATGTGTAGTTCAAAATCTAATCTACACTGAGGCTAACTGATGCGCAATGTGTGATACATCAACAAAATTCAAATAATAAAACTCAAAAAAATTTTTCCCTACTAATACAAAGTTGAAGTTCTATACAGGAAACAACAATGAAAACAGATGAAAAATCAGTGACGAAATGGAGCACAACTAAAATTTTGTGTTTGAGGAGAAAAAAAGAAAAAAAGGTAAAAAATAATTCTGGGAATATTTAAATCAGTTAATGAATACATGTAGTGTTGTCTTTAAAGCACCTTCAAGAAGTACCTCTGAAAGAGTTTTGGATGACAATACATCAGGGATAAATGAAATCTGTGAATATGGCAATTTTCCATAAAAACAAGATTATGGAGACTGGCTCCTGATTTGGCCAAACAAAATACAGAAAATTGAAGTGACCCAGGTTCGCAGTCCCAGTTCTGTCAAATTCCAATCCAACAATTTGTAAAATGGATAACATCTGCACACTTCCACTGTATATGAAAAAGGAGCAGCTCACAGGGCTACTTGAAAAAAAAAATGGCCAAGGTGAATATATAGTCATTTATTTGTGCAAAAATGCCAAAAAATGCTGAGATGTCTTCTGTAAAAAACAGCAAATTACTGGTTTTACCTATCCCTAACCCTTACTTTTGACACTACTACCTACAATGTTTACTAGTTAACCAAATATTCACTGAGCATGTAAATCCATGCTAAGTTTGAGGATAAAAGGATATATAAGATAAAGATATTCTTTATTACAAGCTTTCCATCATGATCAAAATTACAAATAATTTTCAAGGCTATTGTAAGAGTTCAACATTAAATGTTAAGTTTAGGCATTGATGATTATTACTACTTATGAAACAGATTTCTTCCTTTTGAAAGGTGTATATAAAATGTAATGTAAATCAAATCTACTTACCCTCTCCTGCAGTGCAAAATATTTGTACTTTTAGCGAAGATAATTTCCTAGTAAACGAAATTAGGGTCTCTTGAGTAGTTCAGTTTCTTTCCTCATATAGCCACAGAGATGCTATATTTTGATTCAGTCCCTTAAGCAACTTACTCTGCAGTGCCAACAAAACTTTGTTTTTTAAATAGTCCTAAAAGTGCTTAAAGGAATTCTGGTTCCTCTTTTTACCCTGCACAGTTTAAGATCAATGGTAAAGGTAAGAAATAAGCATAAGGGCACTGGAAGAAGGAATGAGTCTAAATAATATATAACGACTGTTTCCTCATACCAATTTTGTCATGGTGATTGTTCACGAATTTTATAGGAGAGTCTGTTGAGATCTGCTACTACTTCTTGGATCTTTGAAGCACTGATGAATGACAAACACAAAGCAGAGTTGGTGTCAGCACCTGATTAATCAGTGCTGTACTACTGGCTGTATTCCCTAAGCAAGTCACTTAAATTATCCCCAAACAGCTTCCTCATCTGTAAAATAAGGATAAAAATTCCTTCCTGACAGAGATGTTATGTGAATTAGAGGAGATTTGCAAATGCTTTGTCAATCATAAAATCACGCAAAATTATTCCTTTGTAGAAAGCTGAGGATTAAATATAATAACATGAAGGCCACACTAAGCGCCTGGCACATAAATACTTAATAAAAGTTATTCCCTATTCTTGCTTTCTGTGTAATTTGCAGTTAGGAAATGGTTAAACATAAACAAAAGACACCCTTGTCAGACTCACATCCATTTGGCTTTAAACCAAACTGTCCTTCTCTGCTCCTTTTCTTCAATTTTTTTTTTGATACATAATCTTTCATTGTATTTGAGGCTGTCTTGAGTCTCTGGTTGAGATCTGGATCACTAAAGCTTCTGGGGGATCATGTCTTCAACAAGCCTTCCAGTGAATGTTCAAAGAAAAAAGAAGTATAATTTCCTTTATTTTTAATCGAGGTTCTTATGAATTGAAAATTTTTTTTTTCAAAGATGGTGATGGAAAGGAAGAAAAAGTTTTAACTTTCCCAAGGTAATGCTTTTATGAAAAGTCAGAAACAGCGGTTTTAGTATCTGGAATTCTGGTTAAGATTTCAACATTTTACCTTACTTAAAAGACTTGTTTACCCAACATTTAATGTCAAGTTTTGCATGGCTCTAAAATTCTTTAAAATGCAAAAGCTTTTCCAATGGCTGAAAACCAACATGACAAGACTGAAATGATATGACCTGTGAATTAGCCTGGTTTATAAAACATACCAGTTCAGAGAACATAAACAAAATAAAGAACCTAAGTAATCCTTAAATTGGATTTAGCCTTGGGCAATTAACAGAAAAATTCACTCATAAAAGGACCACTGTACAGATACCATTTTTTTTAAATGTCAGGAACTGGTTTTATAAGAGTAAAAAGGTTAAAATTAATTATAACATATTCCATAAAGAATATTATGGAAATACTCATATATGAAACATGAGATACTAAAAGTCCATTTATAAAGTGCCTTAATATACCAAAAAAGGAGGTCAGATGTCCTTTATTTACAAATCATATTTAATTCCATTTACAGAAAGGCAAATATATTACACTGGAGAGGCAGCATAATAAAGCATAAAGAACTCAACTTTGAGTCAGAAAATGAATCTTTTTGGCTTTGCCATTAATTATCTCTGTGACTTAATGACAGCTTTTCTGGGCTTCAGTTTTCTTATCTGTAAAATGAGAGGTAGAACTAGACTACTTCTAAGGCTAGTCCTTGCTTAGATGCAAAATTCTATGTCAAGCAATGTAAATATTCTTAACTTTTGGCATTACATATCAGGGTTCTACCACATTAATAATCACTGTAAAAACGGATTATTCCATGGTAGGTAAGTAAAAACATTATAGAGAACTGTGATCAAATACATTTTGAGTTCATGATTTGGCTGCTGTAAAAAGGTGCAAAAAAGCCATAGCATTTTGGTTACTGATATATACATGTAGGTTTTCAAGAATGGTAACACATTCCAGATACAAGGGAAATGACAGCACAAGGAACACTGACCTACAGATAAAGTAGATACTGTCCTTCACAAAGACGCATGGGGAGTTAGCAAACTGAGGAAGCTGTGCATATGTTAAGCCCTTCATCTTGAGGAACATAATCTACGTTTTAAAATCCAAAGCAAGTGGCCGGGCATGGTGGCTCATGCCTGTAATCCCAGCACTTAGGGAAGCCAAGGCAGGAGGATGGCCTCAAGTCAGGAGTTCGAGGCCAGGCTGGCTAACATGGTGAAACCCCATCTCTACTAAAACTACAAAAATTAGCTGGACAGGGTGGGGGCGCCTATAATCCCAGCTATTGGGGGCTGAGACAGGAGAATCGCCTGAACCTGGGAGGTGGAGGTTGCAGTGAGCTGAGACCGTGCCATGGTACTCCAGTCTGGGTAACGAGAGTGAAACTCAAAACAAAACAAAACAAAACAAACTCACAAAACAAAAAACCAAAGCTAGTACAGATATATTTCTGTTTGGGAAAGTTTACTAGGAAAGGTAAGCTGTCCATGAGCAATAAAAATTTGTTCTCCAGAGAATATTTTGGCTTTTAAAATATTGGCAAAGTTACACTCAGATATAGTTTTTTGTTTTTTTTCTAAGAGTTAGCCCAACATCAGGGACACTGTAAATTAATTTTATAACAATAATCAGGTAGTATTTCTCATTGGAATTATCTACTTTAGTAATACACATATGCCAAGAACACTGATAAGACAAAGTATTTTCTAAGAGTGACAAAAAAGGTGCTTTTTCTAATTTTTTACTGCTGCACACATAGGTATGCTGGCATTTAATTAAAGCATAAATGTTTATGCCAACTTGCTAAATGATTTGAGCTGGCAATATCATGTAACAATACAAAATTAAGAGTTTTACATCAGTCTAACACTATATAAACATACTCAAGCATTTGTGTACTGATAGTACAGTCAAATAGAATGATTCATATTTAGACAAAAAGTAAACTTGGAATGGAGGGCTGTATGAAGGGCAGACTTGGGTCTTCAAATATCTCCATATGTGAAATATTAGTAGTTATACATAACCAGATTTTAAAGGCACACATCCAAAATTTCCCTTCATCTAGATCTGTCATTTTCTCTAATATGCCAAAACCCACAAAATATCCCAGAGTTCTCTCAGACTTGGTGGTGGTTGCAAACTTCTAAATGATTACTTACACTTGTAATGAAAAAGCAGTACCATTATCAGGGCACTTCCTTTTGGACTTTCCCTCTTAAAAGACCTCAACAGTTGTTTTAAGCACATACTACTGCAGTAAATCATAGCTTTAGAAACCCCTGGCAGAAAGCAAACGTGTTTAGAAAATACTACTTTGCCTGCAGAAAATTGACTACTGATAGAGTTCATGGCAATCTGCAGTTTAGAAAAGAATGAAGAAAGTGGTCTAGTTCTCCTAATACAGAATATTTCATAGTTGTAGGTCAGACATAGGAGAAAAGACACTCTTAAACTTAGAAACAATACGGATTTCTGCCATGTCACTAAAAATTACTTATTATGGATCTACATTCTTAATTATCATTTCCATCCTGCAGAGATTTGTATCCAACATTTATAATTTTTTAAAGTTAAAAGGGAATACATATTGTAAAATGAACTTTAATGGAAAAATATTTACCCAGATCATTATCTCTTCATAAAACACAGAGAATACTTAAGTAGAGTGCTCAAGCACTTATCACAAATTGCAATTTTATTTTTTCAAATACATAAGAACCTAGAATATCAACTTAGTACTTACTTCTTAGGTATCTGTGTTAGGAAGAGTTCCGCATCACCACATTTCCTCTGTACCTTTTATAATTCAAATTCTATAAAATGCTGCTTTAGGATTCCTGCAAGTGACTGTATTTGTGCACAGCTTAAACAGGAAAACAAAGTGGATGACTTGGCATTTGAAGAATGAAAAAGCCAAATAGCACTGTCAGAACCATTTCTGCCTTCAGTCTCCAGTGCCTTTTTTTCATTATAAAATCCATAAAAATGGCAAGGAAAGACACAGGAAAGTTTATCACAAACACAGTTGCTTTTACAGAAATTTGGAATTCAGCAGATGTTTTAAGTCAAAACGGCTTTCTGTGTAACACATGAATTTGCAAAGTTTTGAAAACACAAGCCCACAAAGTAATTTAAAATGTGATAATTAAATTTGTTTTAAAAATCAAATTAACATCTTTTATTTTCTGATGAGATAATAAAAGAAATACTTTCATATATCCAAACCTATGCTGGAAGTACACAAAAAGACAATCTGTTTACATTACTAGTAATAGTCTTGTTTTATACAGATTACAGAATATCCTTTAAAAAAAATACATGACCTTTGATGGTACATTTCTATGCTGGCAAATACATTTTCTGATACAAAGGCACTTTGAAAACCCAATATGGTTTGGTTCGTAAGTTTGCAAGGTACAAACAATTTTATAAACATATGATTATACTGAAGAATGTCAGCAATTGTGACATTACGTATAAAACAGATTTCCAATTTTTTTTTTTTTAAAGTAATACTGGTTTTGTGGGAATGAAAGCAGTGGTTTCCAGCAGCTTCAGTGAAGACATTCCAGAAGACTAGGGGCCCACAATCTGAAATTCTTACTGACTGGGATGAGAGGATGGTGGTGCGAGCATTCAGTATGCAAACAAACAAACAAAAAACAAAAACAAAAACAGAAAAAAGGACAAACCAACATCCTAAACCAGAAACCTCAGACATCAAAATGGTTTGGAGGAAAGAGCACAAAAGAAAAGACTAGAAGTCCAGGAGATAGCCTCTTAAATCTGATCCCGTAGCTGTGAACCCCCCACAGAGCATAAATGGCTGACTCTACCCAGTGGACTTGGTGCTCGAGAGGTGTAGTGATAACTTCTCTGTTTTAAAAAGCTGGGTACAATGTTTTGGATTGTACAGTACCAGAAAAATTTGGTCCGTAAAAGGTGCATAATTTCTTTCCATTCACTACATAGCTGCAAAGTCAATCTGTACATACAGCTGCCTCACTCCAGCCTGGAAAGTTAAAAAAAAAAAAAAAAAATTAGAAAATCAAACAAGCTAATAATACACTACACCTTTCAGGAAAGTAATTCTTTTCTTTTTCAAATCTTACTTTAAAAAAAAAAAGGAAAGAAACAAATATATATTCATAAGCTACAATAAAGAATCTCCATTTACCACTACAAAATAATAAATAAATAAGTAAGAGCCATGTTGACAGTCTTACTTCTAGATGATACTAAGAAAAATGCAGTTCCCCTTCTATAATTACTCTGTTAGAGGACACAATGGTGCTTGACTGGTTGGCTACTAGTTGAAATCCATACATCAACCCTGTCTAAATGCTCCTGAGATAAATGATTAGTCAACAATTTTAGCAAGTGTAACCATCTGTTAGAATTCTTTTGCACTCCAACCCTCTCTTCAGTTTTGGATATGAACTTGCTACTCAAGGATACTGCTCTCCAAACTGTCCCCAATATCTTCTGTATTATCTATTGACTCCTTTTCAGCTGGATCACTTCTATTAGCATACAAACACACTGCAGCTGTTTCTATCTTTGAAAAAACCTCATGAGAAATTACCTTCTGGGTACAATGCACACTATTCAGGTGATAGTTGCACTAAAAGCCCAAGCTTCACTACTATGCAATATATCCTTGTAACAAAATATATCCTTACACCTGTATCCCTGAAATCTATTTAAAACAAAAACAAAAAAACCTTTACTTAACCCTACATCCCCTTCTGGGCTTCCAATCTCTGCTCTTCTCTACAGCAAAAAGCTTCAAAAGAGTTATTCATATTTGCTATCTACAAACCGTTTTCTCTCTTCTCTCTTGAACTCATTTCAACCAATATTTGCCTCCCAACACTTCCCCAAAACTGTTTGTCCAGGTCATTTCCACACTGCTCATATCAATACCCAATTCTCAGGCCTCTCCTTCCTACTTCACCTGTCAGCAATAAAACAGACACTCACTCCCACCTACTGAACTTTTTTTTCCCCTTTTGGCTTCCACAGAATATTCACTGGTTGCCCCTTTACCTCACTTGTCTTTCTCAGTCTCCTTTGCTGGTTCTTCCTCCCATCTGAACACTGAACACTGAAATACCCAAAGGCTATAGAGAAAAATAAAGCTTGGTACAGGAGCTGGCAAATGCCTCAGCACTCCCAATATACGTATCACCTTGGGATGTATTATACAACTTATTCATGGTGTTTATTGTTCATTGTTGACTTCTCACTATAATATAATCTCTCCAACATAAAGGATTTGGTCTTCTTTTTTACATTGCTGACTCCTAGAACCTCAAGTGGGAACCAGCACACAGTAAGTGATCAATAAATATTTGTTTAATTAAAGGGAATTCTACCAATTTCCTTCTTTCAACCCCAAATAATCTATTTTTAATTAAAGGAACCCATCAGTCACTATAAGGCCTTTCTTCTCAGTACCGCAGAATAAAAAGGTAAATTGGAATATTTAATACGGAAAAAACCAGAGTGGGGAAAGAATTAGTACTACCTTCTTACAGTAATTTCTGGACTCCTCAAAGCACTGTTTCCTAGCTTGGCTTTTTTTCTAGCATTCAGGTAGGAGGGCTCTGTACTAATGAGGGCTTGAAAGGAATCAGAAACCACTCTAATGAATAAAAAGCCTGACAGACTCTAGAAGCTTGCCAGCACAAGGAACATATTTTAATTTTGCTGCTGCTTCTCCTATTTTTTTTTTTTTAATAAAAGACCTTCCTGTGGAAAGTTAAAGCTCTCCATTATTCAAATTTAAGAAAAGTATATTTAATAGCATACTCTCCTCAGTTAAGATAATTGATTAAGGACAGAATTTAGTATCTGATGTTTGAGCTGCAAATTAAAATCAAACTTCAATTTTTCTCATTTTAAAAGTGTTGATAAACACCAACCCTACTAACCTGACACAATTGTTACATATTCATCCAATATTTGACAGATACTCAATAAATCCTTGCTATATGCCAGGAACTTATAAAAGGCTATTACAAATTCTTATGATTGATTACAATTATATAATCTGACTTACATCTAGATGACACCTGAAATGACTATACTTAGGAACTCTTTAAAAATTCTTATATATCAAACCATAAGAGGAAATAAATATTGTTCAAATAAATTATCTTAACTTCTTTTTCAACAACATTGTTAGTGAAAGTAAAATAGGCAAAATAAATAAAATGGGCTCCTTTTAGTGTCTCTGCCATTTTCCCTACTGCTAGCCCTAACACAGAGAAGATGGTAATACAAAATGAAGTAGCCCAAGGCAATAAAAAAGAAAGGAAAAACAAAGAGGCTAGGTAAATTATCTTTGCATAATCGTGAGCTAATTACTCAAGCTGATATCCTTCCCCTGAGAGCGTACAGCGTTCCACAAAAGCTCAGTCTAACAGAAAAAAAGAAAGTCATTTTGCTTCATCCATCTGGCCCGATGAGGACAGCTTCAAGTTTTACGGATTTACATTTTCCTTTTCCAGTTTCCTTCAAAGAGAAAAGTGGAAGAATCCTATGGTAAGTCACCTACTCCCTGAATGCAAACTTAAGTTTTCTATAATTTATTCGTATCACAAAGACATGACAGACACTCCAGCAGATGAAAACACTGCTCAGGTCCATCATAAATTCTACCCACGGAATGGGACCAGGAGCCAGACGCTGGCTGATGGGTCCTTAAAATGTGAAAACCAGGCCGGGGGCTGTGGCTCAGCCTGTAATCCCAGCACTTTGGGAGGCCGAGGTGCGTGGATCACGAGGTCAAGAGATCAAGACCATCCTGGTCAATATGGTGAAACCCCGTCTCTACTAAAAATACAAAAATTAGCTGGGTGTGGTGGTGCGTGCCTGTAATCCCAGCTACTTGGGAGGCTGAGGCAGGAGAATTGCTTGAACCCAGGAGGCGGAGGTTGCCGTGAGCCAAGATTGTGCCATGGCACTCCAGCCTGGGTAACAAGAGCGAAACTGCGTCTCAAAAAAAAAAAAAAAAAAAAAATGTGGAAACCATACAGTACTCACTGCATATCCTGAGAATAACATACAAACCATACTTCAGTCAACATTTCTATAAATGGGGAAATACCTAGTTACTTTGAACACTTTTATGCTCCTAAGAAAATAAATGTTAACCTGGTGCCATAGGCTTAGAATATCTTCAATGCATATTTATCGTTGTAGAAAGGATAACAAATAAGAAGCGAAAAATTTAGAGAAATACATAGGAATATGACTATAGACAATTGTTTTGACTGAACTTATATTCACCTTTATCCCTTTAAAATGAAGTCTTGAAAAATTGCCTTACCTTTCCTTGTGAAACCTAAATCATTTCAGTTACCAAAATAATGAGTAAATGTGACTAAATTGCAAGTCAGGAACAGTAACTTGAACGTGAGTTTCCTTTCTGTAAATTGTCTTTTGGGGCTCACTTAATGTGTTAGGTACCTGTCACAGTACGTGGCACATGAGCTCTCAATAAATGCTAGCTGCTGACATTGTTATTTCCTGCACTATTCACCAGCCAGTGAACATTTAAATCACATGGATTACTTCAGAACAGTAACCCGGGGGATCTGTCGGCCTCACAACCTGTGGTTGTTCACTCCAACCTCAGGTCAGATGCTGGTGGAGTTTAAGTACAAATGATGAAGAGAGATAATGGGAAGATGGATAAGGAAAAACTGCAGAGCAAGCAAGCAAAATCAATACTGAGGAAACATTAAAGCCCTTGATCCAAAGTTAAAAAAATAAAAAGGCAAGGTAGAAAAACAGCAATCTACCTGGAGAAGGGTAGCCATCCACTTTCTCTAACTCCCTAACCTCTCCCTCAAGCAGAGAGAGTAAGGTTAGATGAGCCCCAGGAAGGGATTATGATCCCAGGAGACTTAACAGGGGCAGAAAGTTTCTCGAACTTGGGGCACTCTTATTTGGGCTTGTGAGGAGGCTTTTTCGTTCCTTCCTGAGTATCAGTGTTAACTTCTATTTTAAGGCCAGAGAATAGAACACAAAAAGCTGAAGCAAGAAGCTGGGTGCTTAGGACTTATGAGGCACAAGGGAGAAATGCAGAAGAGTAGAAAAGATAGAAGAAACAAAGGTAGAAGTTCTATCAAGGAGTAAGTATGTATTAGGCAAGACCGTCTTTTGTGTTTTGTGGAACTGAGAATGGTAATAAACTCCAAGCATATTCTAGACTTTACTTCAAACATATTCTAGATGTTTCTTTAATGTGTTTTCTTCAAACATTATTTCTAACAAAAAAAAGCATATTAAAATTTTTAGGATAACAGTTTAAAAAATTAACAAATACTATTGGCCAATTTAAAACATAAATGTTAATTGCCATCCTAATCTAGTATCCCATTTTCTTTTCATTTGTACAATAAACACAATAGATGAAATTTCTATTTTACCAATTCCTAAATAATAACTCATCCAAAAAAAAAATTAGTGCAAGAGTAAAAAGAGGGAGAGGACTTTTTCTATGCCAGCAGAAAACCTGGTACTTTAAAAAATGTATTGTCACTTAATAATCCCAAAGAAATCTCAGTACTGAAGTGGCTTTCAGCAATGCACTTGCATTAGTCTATATTCATGTACAGCAAGCCAACTTCTTGAGAAGTTGAAGATTAACTGGTAACTCTGGAAAATGAGATTAAAAGCATAATGCTTAAGATATAGTCACAAAGCTATAGTTTTATAAATAAAATAGAAAGTTATAATTTAGATATTGGTCTCCTCAGTTTAAAGTTATCCTCATAAAAGTTTTAACAAAACAATTTTTAACCAAAAACCATCACTTAAATTCTAATTTAAGATCAGCTGTAGGAAAGACAACTAAAAATGTAATAAACCAAAAGCTATAACTTATTATTGAAAAAATCTTTCTTTTGGTCCTTTGGAACTAAGGTCACCTGTATTTTAAATTTGTCTATAAGAAATATTTTGTGTGCTCAAAAAGGAAGCAGTGTGAGTTTTGTTATTTTATTTTATTTTTTTTTTGAGACGGGGTTTCGCTCTTGTTACCCAGGCTGGAGTGCAATGGCGCGATCTCGGCTCACTGCAACCTCCACCTACTGGGTTCAGGCAATTCTCCTGCCTCAGCCTCCTGAGTAGCTGGGATTACAGGCACACGCCACCATGCCCAGCTAATTTTTTGTATTTTTAGTAGAGACGGGGTTTCACCATGTTGACCAGGATGGTCTCGATCTCTTGACCTCGTGATCCACCCACCTCGGCCTCCCAAAGTGCTGGGATTACAGAGTTTTGTTATTTTTGATAAATAAAAGTTATAAGATGTAATTTAAAATTAAAAAGAAAATTTTTAAAATTTAAATTTCCTTTCATAAAATAAAAATGCTCCTGAAATCCTTGGCATATACTAACTGCATAAGGACATGCATTACTAGGATATATGCAGAAAAGGAAAATAAGTTCATGAAAAATATCAGTTTTGTGTATGTCAGAACTAAAACAGTGATCATAAGACAATTTTAAAAATCATTAAATGCAGGAATGAAAGTCATTAGTAGGGTGACTCCCTTCTCCCCTAGGAAAAATGTGTTGAACCACCTTCATGGCAAGCCTCAAAGAATCCCTGGTCTCTGCAAGGAATGAAATAAAGTGGACTTCACCTTAGCTGATAAAAAGGCTTGAAATATTTTTTCAGGGCTTAAAATATTCAAAGCTCAAACGCAGTTTCCAAAACCAAAGAAACAGCTGAATAAACTTTCAATGTCAGCCATTTTAAAAGCCAACATTTCTAAGGCTACAGAAGAACCTCCGCCGCTTACTTGAATGGCAACTTCAGCAGGTCCTCAGCCTGGACATAGCTGCTTGCACATTTCTAAAACTAGAAACTGCATTCCTTTTCAGAGGGCAAATTGTGCCGAAGTCCTGGGAGAGGATAGGACGTTGTCCTAGGGCTCAACAGAAGCTCACACTGCGAGGATGAAAGGACATGGCATACCTAGCAGAAAATTCAGGGTTAAGGCGGGAAAAAATAATCTGGAAATGTCAGTGAAAAGAAACATTACTGCTAGCCTGGTTATCTTGTCCCTGAAACATGTAGAAGGTGTGAGAAGGATTCAGACACACTGTGAAGGTCTTGCATGCTTCATTATGAAAGTCATAATGATACCGACTTACAGTGTCTGTTAAGAAAGACACCTAGTTGTTAGAATTCTGAAATAAATAAGCAGCACCAGCATATTGTTTTGTAGTAGTGTATGTCTTGATTATACATAAGATTAGCACTGGAGTAAATCCTAATTATACATAAGATTATTTCATTAATTTATTCCCAAAGGGACCTAACCACACATTTCTCTTTATCAGAAACATAGAGTCCAGATTTCATTAAGATCTTTTTGTGCTTGTGGTTAAAAAAGACCAATGGGAATCCAATAATATTTTTCCATATTTAGCATCTATAAATATGGCTTTAATCAAATACAGTTATTAAAATCTATTTATACAACGAAGTCATTATACATGTATATTCTTCTAAGCATGGGAAATGCAAAATCATGACAGCTGGTAGGAATTTGCACACAAGTTGTACAATGTGATATGTATGACATAGGATAAAGTAATTCTGTTTTGTGGGACACGTAAAGTTTCAGACAGAAAGTAACAATTGCATTGGATCTTTAAGTCAGAGTAGGAATTTTTGTCCCACACAGAAAAGTAAACAGTCTGGTGGGTTTGGAGTATAAAGTACAGGGCAATGAAAAGCAGGAGAGAAACTTTAAAAGTCAGTTCGTTCATGCTAGAAAGTCTGGGCTTTACCTGGATGGCAATGAGGAGCCACCAACGTTTTTATTTTTCAACTTTTTATTTTGGAAAAAAAAAAAAAATGTTTTTTTTTGAGACAGAGTCTCCCAGGCTGGAGTGCAATGGTGTGCTCTCAGCTCACTGCAACCTCTGCCTGCTGAGTTCAAGCGATTCTCCTGCCTCAGCCTCCTGAGTAGCTGGGATTACAGGCATGCACCACCACATCCGGCTAATTTTTTTTTTTATTTTTAGTAGACAGGGGGTTTCACCACATTGGCCAGGCTGACCTTGAACTCCTGAGTTCAGGTGATCTGCCCACCTTGGCCTCCCAAAGTGCTGGGATTATAGGTGTGAGCCACCACACCTGGCCTATTTTGAAAAATTTTAAAGTCAAAATAATAGTACAATAAATAGCTGTAAACCCTTCACCTATATTCACCAACTGTTAATATTTTGCCAGTTTGCTTCATCTCTCTACATATTAATAAGTAATCTTTTATTTTTGCTAAAATATTTGAAAATTAAACATCTAGCTACTTTGCCATTAAATCCTTCAGCATGTATCTCCTAAGAATTAAAAACATTCTTCTACAAACACAATACCATTATCACATTCAAGAAACTGAACCACCTATACAATTAAATGAATTACTATAGTCTATGTCCGAATTTCTTTGATTATCCAATACTTCCCTTCTGTGGTTGCTTTTTATCCCCTAGTCCAAGATCCAGTCAAGAACCACACATTGTGTTTAATTGTGAAGTCTCCTCTCATCTAGAATTATCCCCTACCTTTTTCTCCTTTCACGACACTGGCACTTTTTTAAAGAATCCAAGTTAATGGGCTTAGGGAGGTTCTCACAAGCTGTATTTTTGCTCATGATCAGATGTTTGCTCATGATCAGATTCAAGTTAAACATTTTTGGTAGGAGTATCACATAGGTCATGTTCAATATTCTCCAAGGTATCACACCAGGAAGCACATAACGTCAGTTTCAACCACAGATTTTTTAACACATGGAACCTGTTTCTTCATTAGATCTATGTGTTAGATCAGGGATCCCTAACCCCTGGGCCATGTGCCAGTACTGGTCCACAGCTTGTTGGGAACCAGGCCACTCACAGTGGTGAGTGGTGGGTGAACTGTGACATTTGATTCTCATAGCAGCACGAACCCTATTGTGAACTGCACATATGAGGGATCTAGGCTGTGCACTTTTTATGAGAATCTAATGCTTAATGATCTGAGACAGAACGGTTTAATCCCAAAACTATCCCTCCTACCACTACTCCCAACCCCCGGTCATGGAAAAATTGTCTTCCATGAAACCGGTCCCTGGTGCCAAAATGGTTGGGGACTGCTGCGTTAGATGATTCTGACAGTGGTATCAATGCCTAGGTTTTTTTCCTAACGTTTCGAACAAGCTATACTGAAAAGAATTTATATTGTCTCTACCTCTTCCTTAGATGTTACTGACATGATCTTATTCTCCCAAAATATACACAATACATACCATAGTAATCAGTCTTTGATTGTCCGTCACACAGCTATGTTAATCATGTACTGAAAGAATTTGGTTGTAGACCATGCACTGACTAATTCATGATTCTAAAGGCACTATAGAAAAACTCAACAGCATATAAAGTTATTAAATCACACAGTAGGTGACCATGGTTTTGCTGTCACACAAAAAAGTTAACAGTTTACTTTTAGCTAAAGCCACTGACAAGATACTGTTCTTATTCCAAACACTATTTTAGAATTCTTGGCTTCAAACAGCATCTAACATATAAGAAATGTGCAGTAAAGGAAATGTATGTCTTATAAGAAATGTGCAGTAAAGGAATTCCTTTTTCTTGAAAGAACTCAAACAAGTACAATGATGAGTAAACAGGAACTATCTTCCTATTCCTGACGAAAATTAACTAAAGTATTTCCCAAACTTGACTCTAGGGTTGGGAAAAAAAAGTGGTTTTACGCTTAGCCTATAGTTTAGTAGTATATATATTTATTATAATAAATAGCAATTATTATTATTTTTTTTTTGAGGCAGAGTCATGCTCTGTGGCCCAGGCTGGAATGCAACTGAATCATAATTCACTGCAGCTGCAAATTTTTGGGCTCCAGTCACCCACTGGCCTCAGCCTCCCAAGCAGCTGGGACTATAGGTACATGTCACCATGCCCAGCTAATTTTATGTTTTGTAGAGACAGGGTCTCACTATGTTGCCCATACTTGTCTAGAAATCCTAGCCTCAAGCCATTCTCTCACCTTGGCCTTGTAAATATTTTTAAAACTACCAGTCACAAAAAATTTTAAGACCCTTAAAAGGAGTTAGTAAAAAAGATATACCTGAGTAAAAATATTATGTGTTTGGCTTAAAATCCACCTGGCATCAGCATCAGGTGCTACTACTAATTTCAAAGTCCCAACGTAAACATCAGAACATAAAGTCCAGAAGTGCTGTTCCTGTAAACTGTAAACTCCTTGCAACTGCTGTACCTGAAATACAAAAAAGAGATATTTACATCATAATCAAGTCAACTACCCCCCTTCCAATTAAATTATTATGCATCATATCAGTAAACATGAATACCATCCTCCAGTTTAAAAAGAGGAAAGGAGGGTGTTTGAATAAATAATACGTACTTACTGAGTACTCATTATGTGACAGGCAACACGACAAGTGTTTGGGAAATACAAATGAACATACGTCAAAATTTGCAGGACATACCTGAGAGTGTCCCCCACAGGGAAATTTATAGTAACAATCACTTAATAAAGCTCAAAACCTATTTATGATTTGGAAAAAAAATTATTAGAAGGACACTTTCTTAACTTATTAAAGGTTAACTACCAAAAATGTAAGAAAAATAAGGATGAAACGTTAGATGTATTCCCTAAAGATCAGGAAAAATACAGAGACCCAAATCCCTGCAATTGTTCTGCATCTCTACAATGATCTGGAGGAGCTGAACTAAGATCAATAACCAGAAGTTAAAAGAAAAAAGCTCAATGTGAAAAGATTTTCATAAAAATTGCAGAAGTTTACAAAGAAAGAGGGAGGCTTCTCTGTGAATGTATCTATCAAAAATATTGATTTTTTATCAGAATTTGATGAATGTAGTCATTATTTTCTATAAACCCCAGGGCAGCTGATGGGAAATTGAGATAATACCTACTATGCCTTTTTAAAAAGCTGCTTTTACTGGGGGAAAAAGATCAAAGTGTAGTTTTTCTTCCTCTTTTTGGACTCTGACAACACAGCTGTTTTAACCAGATATCCCTCCACATTTTTCTACGTGGCATCCTCATGGAATGGTCCACTGTTAATGAAACAACCTGATTTTGATTGAAAAGGTATCTTCTACTTCCATATGCAGCAGTACAAGTACATGATTTAAGTTATCTTAAAACACAAACTAAAGAATAATTCCTGTAGAAACTAGCTAATTTTCCAAATTAAGAAATGGGAGGAAAGTGTAGTTACAGATGAAAAGGGAAGTTTGGTATATCAGAAAGAACATGACTTTTAGAGTCAGAGTGATGTGGATTAGAATCCTGATTCAGCCACTAGCACTTGGACTTAAGGTGAGCCTCAATTTTATCTAGGGAAAGGAAGATGATACTTCCTGTATAGTTTATTGTAAAGAAGAGAAAGTATGTATAACAATTAGTAACAATTATGCTGATTGATGCTACCTTAAAATAATAACCACAAATTTTAAAGGGTAATATGTATTTTCCCTGTATCAGAGGATTATTTTATACCTTCTTTTTTCCTCTAGCCTTCTGATGTCTCTGCAGGATTACACTGCCTGATAAATTATAGAGAAAACAGAAGTACAAAGAAAATCCCTTATTCTTTACCGTTAAATCTACCAGTGGCCCCTCATCTATGTCAGCACTTCTGCATTCCCTCAGAAGACATAGTGTCCCTGCTACTATCAACAATTAATCCTTCAGTGCGCTTTGGGTTCTATCCTTTCTCACCTCCTCAAGACGGCATTCCTTTAATAATCTCCTTTAGTACTAAAACAATTTCTTCCTCTCAGTTGGACTGTTACCATCAGTTAATGCACACGTTCTAGAACTGTGCTGTGCAATACAAAAGTCACTAGACACATGTGACTCTTTAAATGAACGAAAATTACGTTCAAAAGAATCAGTTACACTAGCCACATTTGGTTTGTGGCTTCCATATTGGACAGTGCAGATTACAGAACATTTCCATTACCGGGGAAAGTTCTATGGGGTAATACTGTTCTAAAACATCCTACTTGGAAAACAAAAAAACACCCTCCCTCCTGATAACTACATCCATATCTACTGTCAACTCATTTCTCTGCTCCCTTCAACAACACTTCTTAAAGAAGCTGTCACTTCCCCAGTTCATTTTCTCCTTAATCCACTCAAATCATGCTCCTCTCTCCAACGCTCCAATGAAACTGCTCTTATCAGGTCATTAATGATGTCCATGAAGCCAGCCAGTCAACGATCATGTCTTGTTCCTACCCTCCTTGACCCCACAGAAATATTCAACACAGTTAATTACTTCCTCCTTCTTCAACTCTGTGATCCTACACCCTTTTGGTTTTCCAGTACCCTACTAACCACTACCTTTCCTGGCTTTCTCACCTGTGCTCCAAATTTATAGTTGAAAGCAGAGCTAAAAGAGAAAAACTAGAACCTCTCCTGAGGTAATCACATACAATCTTGATGTTTTAGATGCTATTCATATATTGATGACTTATAACTCTTTCTGGTCCCAATCTGTCCCCAAAACCTCAAGATTTTTATCCAACTACTTAAGTAACATTTCTCCTAGGAGTTAGTAACCATTTCCCTTTTAACATATTCAAAATAGAACTGTTCATTTGGGGAGATTTTCCATCCTCAAATCTGTACCAACAAGGCCTCGGTCTCAGTAAGTGGCATTACCATCTACCAAGTAATAAACCAACACTTTCTCTCCCCTCTGCTAAGATCCACTTCCCAAAACATATCCCCAATGTATATTTATCTCTTTCTTCACTGCTACAACGGTAATCTAAGCCACCACTGTTTTTCACTTAGAGGACAATAACTTCAGAACTGGTTTTCTTTGCTTTCATCCTTCCTAGAATACGTTCTCTGCATAGAAAACAAGATAATCTCTTTAAAACATGGGATTTGTGACACTTTGATTGCCTAAAAGCTTTCCAATGCTTCCTACTGAACTAGAATTAAATCTAAATCTTAGTAGGATCCAAAACCCTAAATGATCTTGCTCCTGCCATTCTCTCCAGTCTTTCAAGCATTTTTTCCTTTATTTAATATGCTTCAGCCACAATGGCCTTTTTAATTGTTATCAAAAACACTGAACTAAATCCAGCCACAGGGGAAATTAATTAGCAATTTCTCTTGTCTGGAACATTCATCTCCAGGATTTTCATATGGCTAGATCTTTTGCCATCAAGGTTTCAATTTCCTTGAATACAACTTCCTTAGTGAATCTAAGGTAGCCATCCATGACTATCACATCACTTTATTTCTCCTATAGCAATTATCACTGATATGTTCTTATTTATCTACTTATTGTTTAGTATCTGCATTTCCCCACGGGAGTATAAGTTCCATGAAACAGGCATAGTGTGTCTTGTTTACCATTACCTCCCCAGTATCTTAGAAGAGTATCTGGTAGAGTGGGAGCTCAAAAACTCTATGCTGAACAAATGCTTACATCTCTACTATACATATTCTATATTTTTTAAAAAACTGCTCGGTTCCTAGACGAGAACAATTTCTACCATATTTTCTTTAGTCAAGTTCAGTATTTTCCGACAATTATATTCTGGCTTGTATAAATTACATTTCATGTTCAGCATTCAATCTTGGAAGAAATACTCAATTATACACACGTTACCCATATTTGTGAAAGCTGAAAATCAAGAGATTGAAAACAGAATAAAATCCTATGGTTCAGAATATTTGAAACTCACCCTGTGATAGCATTGAGGCAGAGTATTTTCTAATAGGGGAGGAGTTCTCTGCATTAATATTCCAATAGATTCTCTTAAAAGAGGAATAACACTAAGGAAAAGAAATACAACAATTTATTAAAGCCACATTCTGATAATCCCATCCTGCAAGAAAGTAACTATATACTTCCCTATGGTAGAAAATAATAGGACTTATCAGAATAATATGAGAAAAAACAATCAACCAGTCACTGTTTTAGATTTTCCATGTGATCAGTAAATTATTCAAAGTAAAAGAGCCAGAGAAAATGTATTAATGTAGGAAAAAGTAAAGCTATAAAACTGAAATAATATCATATCATCTAAACCCATCACATGTTCAACTGTTAGTTAAAATATGACTCCACACAGTCAGAACCTTCCAAAGTAATCATAGCCTACCATGCTAACTGGTCCTTAATATTTATCAAATATGTACATGTACTTATCCGAAGAGCACTGATCAGGAAAATACAAAAAAAAAAAAAAAAAAAAAAAAATACAACAGTCGATTTGTCCAATAATGTCACATTTCATTATTTAAAAAATATAGAAGCCTAGTGATAACCACAGATTAAGTGAAACGAACTCAGCTCCTCTAGGGATGGTGCCCAAAAGTCTGCATGTGTTGATGTAACTAGTCTTCAATTAGTTTTTGAAACTAGTGCTTTAGGTTATTTGGATGACTAAACATACACAAAACAATTAATAGTAGAATGGTGAGGGTGACTCTAATGCAATGGTTTTCTAACCTAGCACATATTCAATTCACCTTACAGTCTTATTTTGTTTTCATTTCTGACATATTGAATCAGAATCTTGGAGGGAATGTCCAAAAAGCTCTCCATGTGATTCCAATGATTCAGATTGGTAATGCACTATTCCACTGCTTGAAGTAGGCTGAGAGGGGAGGTCAGAAACTGCTTCATTACACTTAATAGCTCCAATCAGTGCTCACTTTCAAACTGACAGAATTTCAAAATTTTCAAAGTAAAATTTCTGATAATAGTTGTAGGTGATGAAGATAAAAAGAACATTTGTCTTTCAAGGAAGGTCTCATAAGAAGAAGAACTACTGGTATTCTGACAGATGGAAAGGAAAGAGAGATACCAATAAAAACCCAAAAGAATAGAGACAATGCTTATCTGGCTATTACATTCCCAAGGAGGTCTAGTAAAGTGCTGGTCATAAAGTGGTCCCAATTGTTGGTTAAATGAATGACAGAAATACAGATAATCAAATGTTTCAGACTCTAGCCTGAAGAAAGGCAGAGGGCATAGGAAAGAAATGAGAAGACTGTCTTCATACTTTAAGTGTATAGTGATAAGTACTTGGATAAGGAGGGTAACCATAGGAACAAAGACAAAATTTAAGCAAATAGAAATAACTGGTGTATAACTACATCTAATGGAAGACACAATGAGAGCAATGTTAAGGACAGTTTACTAAAAATATGGAGAAGATGCAGTGATGAGGGTAAAAAGCTCAGTGTAAACAGGAGTTTCAGTCACATGCAAGTAAAAATATTCTTTTTTTTTTTTTTTTTTTTGGAGACGGAGTTTCGCTCTTGTTACCCAGGCTGGAGTGCAATGGCGCGATCTCGGCTCACCGCAACCTCCGCCTCCTGGGTTCAGGCAATTCTCCTGCCTCAGCCTCCTGAGTAGCTGGGATTACAGGCACACGCCACCATGCCCAGCTAATTTTTTGTATTTTTAGTAGAGACGGGGTTTCACCATGTTGACCAGGATGGTCTCGATCTCTTGACCTCGTGATCCGCCCGCCTCGGCCTCCCAAAGTGCTGGGATTACAGGCTTGAGCCACCGCGCCCGGCCAAGTAAAAATATTCTTTAGTCAATAGTGACTTAAGAACCAAGAAAAATTAGATGTCACCCTTAATTCCTTCTTCCCCTTAAATCTCCAAGTTCTCATGATTTAATATCCTAAATATTTCTTGACTCCATTCATTCCCCTTCATTGTACTACACATATCCACAATAATCTCCATATCTTTCAAGTGGATTATTATAAACAGCTTCCTAAGTGGTCCCTTTAGCTCTAGTCTTATTTCAAGTCCATGTAATAGGCAGCTTCAACAATGGCTCCCAATGACCCTGCCCTACCTGGTATTCATGCCCTGTGTAGAATTTCAGGACCTAGTCACTTGCTGCTAATGAACAGGGTATGGCAAACGTGAAGAGATGCCACTGTCGAGATTAAGTAAAAACTGGCTTCTGCCTTGTATACCCTCCTCTTTTGTTCTCACTTGCTCCCGCATCACTGCTGTGTTTTGAGCTGTCCTATAGCGAAGACGGTGTGGCAAGAAACTGAGGGATATTGCTGGAGAGATATTAGGCAGACCCTCAGTTCAACAGCCCAAGAGGAACATAATCCTGTCAGTAACCACTTGAGTGAGCTCAAAAGTAGATTCTCCCCCAAACGAACCTTGGAATAACTGCAGTCCCAGATGCTACCTTGATTACTAGCTTCTGAGAGACCTTGAGCCAGGCAACATAGTTACCTATGCTCAGGAAGTATAAGATAATAATGTATATTATTTTAGCTACTAGTTTTTTGGGTACTTTATTATGTATCTACAGATAGCTAATACAATCATATTTTATAGAGACGTTAGACTAACCTATATAAAATAGGTATGTGACCCCTATCCCTTTCCCACTAAGAAATATGTCAAAAGCTCCCCACTGGCGAGGGGGTTCAGTGCTGGCTCTTTAACATGGTGTATTTTTGGATCTGGACCCTCAAGCTTCAACTCCTATTAATCCTTGCTTCCTTTTTTAAGCTCTCCAAATATAACATACTTGTGCTTTACCTTATGGTGTTTCTTTCACAGTTTTGCTCAAACTGTAACTACTGCTTAGAACGTCCCTAAGCTGCTCTACAGTCTGGCTTACATTTCTTTTTCAAAATCCAAGCATCACCTCTTTTACGGTGTATTTCCTGATCCCAAACTGCCCTCTACATTGTATAAGATGTCTTCTCTGTGCTCCTATTAAAAAAAAAAAAAAAAAAAAAACTATGCTACCTACAGTATTATTACATTGCATGATAATTACCAACTTGTGTTTCCCCCTCCCTCTGAACTGAAAGCTGCTTTAGGATAGGAATGATCTTATTTGTGTTTGTAAACCCAGCATCTCAGATGGTGTTTGGCAAATGAATGTTTATAGAACAGAATTTATAGCTGAATCTATTAAACATAATTAATTCATAAATTTTCAAAGTATATCTGAGGCTAGGGATCAATACTAAATCTTGCAGCATATATGGAATCATTAGCAGTTAAGAAAAAGAACTAGTAAAGAGAGTAGAGGCACAGTAAGTAAAACACGTGGCATGAAGGGAAACATATTTCCAGCAATAGTAAATACCTCAAAAAAAAAAAAAAAAAAAAAAAAACAACCAAACAAACAGCAAAAGGCCATTAGATCAAACAATGCGAATATTGTTTGAGGCCATCCACTGTAACGTTTCAGAAACAGTAAAGAGAAAAAAAATTAGTAGAAAACAACTGCAAATGGACTTAAGGATTTTGACAGTGAAGAATATTGGTTACTCATTCATCTAAACTAAAGAGTAGTATCTGTTTCTACCTACTGTGTTGCTATTAAATAGGTAATCACTTCCTGTGTTTACAAAAAAGGCAAAGAAAAAATGGTGACATATTACTTAGGTACAAGTCAATCATCATTTTTCTTTATTCTCTCCATCCTTATTTCTCAGGAAAAAGAGAATCCATCACAGAATATTTTTAATATATACTAAACTTAAAAAATTTTATCTTTTCCTAACTGTACTCAGAAAATGAGGCATAAAAATGATTCTCTGTGAATTACTGTTGGAGAATAAAAAAAAGGTTTCTTTCCTACCTGTCTCCTCAGTTTAGTTATTTTGATAAGTTCTTCTCCAATCTTAATCTAGGGAACTACTAACAATGTTTAGGTATCTGAGTTGAAAATTACACTCAAGTGGAAGTCATGACTCTTGGGTTCTAATTCTGCCATTAAGTAGCTTTAAGCAAATTTTTAGAGCATCAGTTTTCTCATCTATAAAATGAAGGAGTAGTTTTAAACATTCAGGCAATTTCTTTCATATTTTATATATTTTCCTTTTTCATTCAATAAGAAAAATTGGCTAAACTATAAAGAATACTAGAGAGAGGATACACTTGGAAATGAGAAAAAATATAAATTGTTTTTATATACTAAGGGAAATAAAGCAGTGTCATCAAATGACACATAGATATACTTGGCAAAATGATTTACTCCATCACAACAGATAATCCAGCAAATGAATTTTATTAAGCAATCAATATTAAATGATTATTAAGGATCTACTACTATATGTCTGGCGTCAGATTTTCTGGAACTAGATGGGACTTTACTTTAGAGTTGTGGAAATGGTGGCCTAGAGCACCAAAGTAACTTGTCTAAGCGAATGAGCAGGAAAACTAGAACAGATCAGGTCGTTAGACTCCAAGTTCAGTTTTGAAAAGTTCAAGTCAACAAATACCTGTAATATGCCTACCAGGTAGCAAGCATGTGCTAGACACTGGAAATACAAAAATAAATAATATAGAATACTTTATTTCAGAGAAGTCTATAACTTTACTTTTAATAAGCCTGAAGAAAAGGCAATGGAAATCAGACATCAAACTTATTTAGGGCCCACCATTTAAAAGAAGGCACATATGAATTTAAAGCAACTACATAGTATGCTTGTATCCATTTTCACTTTCCATAAACTTCTGGTGAATGGTTTTCTTAATTGGTAACTTATTTTTAAACATACTTTTAAAAATAAAGGGGAAGAGAGAAAGGAATAGAAGAGGCATTGACTCAATTGCAATGAAAGGCATGCAGTATGGGAAATGACATTATTTAAGCAGTAGGTGTGAAATAACTTTTGTGAACAACTTTTAGAATATTTATTGTTTTAGAATACTCATGTTTAATATAATTGTTCCCCCAAGGAGCTAAAACACAGTAAGTAAGAGATGGTGAGTCCCATCTATAATAATCCTTGAGGAGATCAGCTTTCAAACATTAAAGACAT